TCGTGACCCAGGCTGGGGGCAATTCCCCCGCCGCCCCTGTGCTGGCTGTGGCTGACACGGGTGCTATGGTGTGTGTGGCAGGGCCATCCCTGCTCCTGGACATCGGTTTGTGTCCGGGGCAAATTCGGGTCCGCAATGGCCTGAGGGACGTGGCAAACAAACAGCTCAAGTGTCTGGGGTCCGCCCCCTGCTGCCTCAGTGTGGGCGAGGGGTCCACCGTCCAGGAGGTCTACAATGTGCAGACAGCCAAGGCCCTCTACCTGTCATTGGAGGCCTGCAAGTGCTTCAACTTGGTGCCTGTCGACTTCCCGCTCCATAGGCATGCTGTGGCTGCAGCTCGTTAGCCACTTGAGCGGTCGGTCATGTCTCTGTTACACACTGTTGGCAAGTACTGGCTCCATAATGTATCTGCATTTGCTCCAGTGTTGGTCAAGTCTGGTCTTGAAAGAGCTCACAACACTCTCTGGCAGTTTTCACTCCCAAAAAAGTTTACCTTCACAATTTTATGGACCTTCAACTTTGAGCTGTGACCCCTTGTGGGCCGGGCATCCACCAGCTCCAGGTATGGAAATTCAACCGAGTAGTACCCTCTGAAATGTTTATAAATTTCAATTTGGTCACCTTTTATCAGTCTATAGAATAAGCTAGGCAGTGAGAGGCAGGAGTTCTGTCTCTCTGGGTAACTGAGGTGCTGTAGTGCAGGCACCTGTCTAGTGGTCCTCTCGATGGGGAAGCTCCTCGGTCTTGATTCACCTTTTCACAATAGCCCGAGAACTTCAGTTTGTTGACAACATACATACCCAGATCCTTTTCACATTTGGTCTCTGGTAACAAGGTTGCATCGTCCCATTGGGACATGTGAAGTGCCTCCTTATTGTTGGTACGACCTTGGTGCATCCTCTTACACTTCATGACGTTGAATCTTACACAGCCATTTCTTCGACCACTCTTGAAGCTGCCAGAGGTCATTCTGTAGCTTGTCAAAGTCTGTTTGATTCTTAATTTCCCTAAATAACTTGGCATCATCTGTAAGCATTTGTATGGAAGAGTGTATAGATTCTGGCAAGTCATTTATGAAAAAAAAAATGGGCACAGTACACTGCCCTGTGGTACCCCACTTGTCAAGGGTACACATGACAATTTCATGCCATTAATCACCACACACTACTTGCAGTCATGATGTTTCCAATCCACACAAGGACACTTCCCTGAATCCCATACCCTTTCAGTTTAATTCTCAGCCTTGCAAGGAGTATGTTGTCGAAAGCCTTGGGAAAATCCAGATACTTATTGTCGATATTGCCACCCTCTTCTAGAATTTGAGTTCAAATATTCAAAACCTTGAGCAATTGTGTCATGCACGAGCATCCCAGAATAAAACCTTAATGGCAATCCTTTACCAGGTTGTTTCGTAGTAGATGTTCCATTGTGGTATCTCTTATAAAGCTTCCTCGTACAGTAATATCTCCATTGGCCGGAATCCCTCGAACTCGGAACTCTCCGATAGCCGGAATTGAAATTTTCTCGGAAAATCGTTCCCAAAGCAGTTATTTTCCGAAAAATTCCTGCTTTGGGAATGATTTTCCGAGGGGCAAATTTTTCGGAAAATTTTCCCGTTACCCGGAAAATTCCGGGGATGGGGGAGGTTTTTTCTGGGAGTGAGAGATGAAAATCAGGCGCATTTTCTGGAAATTCTGAGAAAATTTTTCCGTTACCCGGAAAATTCCAGGGATGAGGGATATTTTTCCGGGTTCGGGATGATGTACTGGGCAATTTCTGGAACTTCCGAGAAATTTTTTCTGTTACCCGGAAAATTCTGGGGATGAGGGATTTTTTCCGGCTCCGAAAGTCGTCTCGTTACCTGGAAATCTCTCATTACCGGAAGTGCTCAGCACCAATTGTACCGGCTAACGGGGATATCACTGTACCTTACACACTACGCTGGTCAGGTTCATTGGTCGATAATTATTCATGTAATGGCGATTGCCTGGCTTGAATATACAACTCACATCAGCCATTTTCCAGTCACTGATGAGGAGGAATAAAACTTTATGACCAGGATGAGACTTGGCTTCCGATGGTTCAGGACACGTTGTGAAAACGAGGCGAATGACATCCCGAGCAAAGTCAAATCAAATCTGGAAGCTAAAATAACTAACAAGGCAGTGTCACTCATAAGTGCTTGAGCGGGGCATTTAGGGGAGGCTGAAAGAACTGGAGGACAGGATCGATGCTTTGGGAGTGGTCTCTGACGAGTCTCCTCAATCATTCGTGAACATCACTGAAGAGGAACTGAAGGAGTTTGGGTAGTACTAATGGAGTGAGTGTGAAGATCAATGATTTGGGCAGGGCTAGGACAGTAACCCACCCAGCAGGTACTGAAGCTAAAGGGGGGTTTTGTGGCTGCTGCTGCTGGAAGTGTTGATAGAGCATTGAAGTCTATTCCTATTGATAGCTGCATCCAGACACGAACTGGCTCCCTTGTTATAAAACTTCCCACTGAGAAGGCAAAGGAGGAGGCTAGTGGGAAAATGAGTTCCTGCTTTGGTACACATTTGGACTTCATGGTGTCTGAACTTAGGATAATCTTGCCAAAAATGATAACTGTAGGTATTCCTACTACACTTCCCGATGACAAAATAGTCTCGGGCATTGCGGAGAAGAATAATGAAATTCAAGAACTATTAAATATGGGCTGCACATTAACCCTTGTTTACAAAAAGATATAGAGATATACTGTAGTAAACTTGCAGTCATGAAGATGTTGCCCCAAGTAAAAAATTCATTAGAGAAGTACCAAGGATATGTTAATGTTGGATTGAACAGATGCAAAGCTTATGACAGGTTTTGGGTCACTCAATGCTACCACAACCTGGTTCTCTAGTTTATGCCTTTATGCAGAGTCATGAGTCTAGGGTGTTGGTGGTGCAGTGGTAACTAAGTATTTCTCACCAATATGTCAAGAGTTTGAGCCTTAGCCCAGACACACTTGAGAAGGGTGTGACCCTCACTACCAAACATCACAGGTTTACCAGACTCCAGTTTCCTCCTGTACTAACACTGGATAGACCAACCGCCTGAACAGCGAGTAAGCTGATAAGCGGTGAAAAAAAAAAACGTGCAAATTGTTCAACTCATGCAGTACCACATGAGTCAGTCAGCTATGTTGCATCAAGTAAAGATTACCCTATGATGATTTCCCAGAGTAAAAAAGTAATTGATAACACCGGGATGAAGAAACAACATTAACCGAGACCAGACGTGAAAGGGACCTGGGTGTGTATGTTGACAATGAACTGAAGCTCTCGTACCATTGTGAGAAGGTGAACCAAACCATAGTTTGTTCCCTTGAAGCTTGCAACTGTGGCAGCTGATGCACACCAGAAGACCCACTACAGTCCTTTAATATTTACTTTATCATACTTACATTATGCTATTTTAAGGGACATAATAACCTTTCTATGTTAATCAAGGCTGAAAATTGTGAAAGACTGATCCTTTCTTCTCATTTATTCATATATCTGTATGCACAAAGAATTAAATTCACTTAGCAACAATGATGCCTAAGAAATTGTTTTATATAACATATAAACTTTACAAACTTTTCAGCTGCTTGAATACTGTACAGTTAAAGTAGTCACCCTTTACATGTACAGTTATAATAAAATTTCTCTTCTAAGAATTAATTGAAGCTATGAACAAATTGCAAAACTGTACATGTACCTTAGTTACCATCACTTTTATAAATTTTTTAATCTAAAAACCATTCACTGTTAAACTGTGGAAAAATCATTACAATACTCTAATGTGGCTTAGAAATACAAAAATATAATATAAAACAATATAATAAATAAAGACTGTGTGTGTGTGTGGAAAGTGAATGTGTGTCGAGGTGGTGGGTTTCCGAGCTATAACTGCGTGGCAGCGCTCCCTCCCAATGTGACGTCACAGCACACACACGTCTGCGAGTCAGCTGGGTGACTGCCTGGCTGAACTGAGTTCACACCACCCACAGGATGGTTGGAGTGTGGAAGGAGCTATTTGTTGTACATAAAATATGTGCTATTGCATTTTATGATAATTATGCTATGTATTGATTTTATTGTTTTTTGTAGCAATAAACATGACAGCTCATCCCATTTGTGTGCAGTATTCAAAATTATAATTTTAACTGATGTGGATGAATTTTTATAATTATTACAGGGTATTTGATTTCGGTGCTAGTTAGCTGAATCTGCCAATTGGCCGTATACCGAATAACTGGGATTCTACTATACATTTAATTAAAAAAAAATAGTAATAATTTTCATAAATAAAACTATTGTACTGTACATAAAAATATATTAAAATCAAACACATTCAAGTCAAACCTTCCATATGCGTTAATGATGCATGAAGCAAAGGTTGTTTACATCTGTAAGCAATTATTATTTTGTGTATGCACAAGGCAAAAATGGAAACCCTTATACTAAGACATTACTGGTATGAATTAATTCAGTATTGGGAAAATTTAATGTACTGAGATTAAAGTTTTCCACTTGAAATATATTTAATTTTGGATGTGAACATTATTTCATTCATATTACAATAGGAAGATCTGCCATGTGGTACCTTTTATAAAGCACTGTATTTGTTTCACACACCTCACTCAGTACAGTAGAATCCCAGTTAACCGGCACCTATGGGGATTGAGAGGTGCTGGATGAAGAACTTTACTGGTGAGCTGAAACTCACTCTTAGGATTCCCAATAAATTCTACAATGCTACAGGATGACCTCCTCAAATTCATCTCAGAAAAATGAACTTCTTGAATCCTTATCCCACTCTATATACAGGATGTTGTTTAGAAAAATAAATAAAAAATAAATAAAAAATAAATAAATAAATAAATAAATAAATATATATATATATAATATATATATATATATATATATATATATATATATATATATATATATATATATATATATATATATATAAACAATAAAATAAGAAACATGAAGAGCATGGGTGTGGGTGTGTGTGTGTGTGTGGAGGTGGTAGGCTATAACTACATCGCCGACTCACCAGCCCAGCTGCTGTGTTTATTGTTAATTACAATAAAAATATAAGTTGTTGCAAATCATTACATTACTCTCATGTGGCTTATAAATAAAGAAAATATAATATAAAACAATACAATAAGAAAATGAAGAAGTTCGGTCTGTACATGTAGGAACTGGATGTGCGTTGAGCTATAACCGAGTGGCTGCGCTCCCTCCCAATGTGATGTCACGGCATACACAAGGCCAGCACGGAAGCTACACGTCTGTGAGTAAGCTGGGTGACTCTGAACTACGTGTTGCACGGAGGACGGTTTGAGTGTGGAAAGGGCCAATTTTTTGTACTTAATATATATACTATTGTATTTTATGATATGCTATGTATCAATTTTATTGTTTATACTGTACAGTACATGTAATAGCAATAAATGTGGCAGTTCATCTCTATCGCACAGGGTATTCAAACTTATGATTCTAGCTGACCTTGGAGGAATTTTTATTTTTCTTATTTAATTTTTGTGCCGGTTAGTTGAATCCTCCAGTTGTCCCGATACTGTACCACATAACTGTGATTCTACTGTATCCCCACTCAGCCTACACACCTTTCTGAGGTGTGCATTAAAATTTTATCTAATAACATTTAGAGACAAGCTCTAAACATGGCAGTGGAATGGTATTCAATAAATCAACAGAAACACCTACCTCTTTCTGAAAGGCAATGAACAAGTAGTCACTGGTAACAAGTAAGGTTTTCTGCTATACACAAGCAGTGTAGGATGTCATATTTTGTGATGTAGTGTCCACTGAATTCATAGATTATGCTGCATTTGTAAATACAGTACAGTGGACTTGGACAACTGGTAGAAGAACATTGCAAAGATAAACTGTTGTATACATTGTCAATAAATATATGGTACTGTAGGTAGTGCAGGCTGAGGTATCCACAAGTACTTCACAGCAAGTCTTGGTCTACAGAAAGGAGGGGTTCATACAACCTCTGAAAACAGGCATAGCACGTCAAGTCGTGCTCTTCAAAGACTCGGTATCAACTCCATATACTTTATATAAACAAACTGGACACAACAATGCTTTGGGAATACAGTACAGTACATACATATGGAGTCTTATGTTGCCACTGTAACTTGTCCCATTGTTAAAAAACATGAGAACCATAGGAAGTGTTTATCTATCTAGTGTTCGAAATAGACAAATGATGTACAAGTCAAGAGTCCACGTGACTACTGAGGGGAGAAATTTTTTCCACAGATACCAAGAAAATGCCTTTAACTTGAAAAATTATAGGAAGATGCCAAAGTGTATGTTGGAGTATGTTGTGGGGGAATATGAGATAATTGCACATAATTAACTGGGGTCTTTGATACAACATACTGTGGCAATTGACCAATTATGTATTGCCTTTGTGGTATTGAAGCTCCATCTTTGGGAGATTGACACTGTAAATATTGTACATTATTTCCTCCAGTTGATATATTACAATTTCTAACTTGATCAATGTGACTCTGGTGTTGTACACTTCCTATGGCATTATTGTGAGTATAACTTTCACCAGATTTCCTTACTTGCATTTCTGGTGTAGAGAGGTTATGTTTATCAGTCCATGCAAATGTATTATAAGGTCCAGAAAAATCAGGAGCCGATACCAACTGATTGCTTCCATAAGATGAAACAAAATTAGATGCTACCTCTTGGCTTGACAATAGCCCAGCTTCTAATGCATTGGTATCATTCACATGACTTTTATTATACTGACACTGAGGAGCAGTGTTTTCAGTCATTTCATAAGGTTTTAATGAAAGTTGTGGTGGAGTTACAGTATAGAATGAATTCAGTTGTGTTACGGTTGCACTCTTTTTTGGATTACTTGTGGGGTATTCATTATGTGTTTGAATGGATTGATTAGTGGCTACACAGTTACTCCGAGTCATATTTTGAAGATCTGGTTTATCCATGTTATTATATAGACCGTTGACTATAAAAATAGGCACAGCACTATTATTCTTATGATTAACCTTATATGCTTTTATTACTTTATATGTTGGAGATGGTTTTCCAAGATCGTTTTGTGAATTTAATGAAATGACATTATGTGCAGTATCACCGAGACTTTCTAGACTGTTATCTCTCTTTTCAAATTGTGTGTTATTTATGTGTTGATTGAATAACCCCTGGGGTATTAGCCTATCACTTCCTGGAAGATGCTTCTCATGTGTGGATGTTGAAGAGCAATCAAATGTAGGATGATATAAATTTCCATTACCACCATTTTGTGGCAAGTTTATAGAGTCAGCACAACCAAAAATCATTCCAGGTTTAATTGGCTCATCACTTGGTTCTGTATTCAATATGCACTGACTTAACTGTTTCTCAGAACATGGTGCAGACATCAAACATGAATCTGGAAATCCTGCACTGCTGACTGAAGGTAGTGTATCAGTGACTTGACAGTTTCTCACAGTTTCCTTAATTAGTACGTAGTTATTAGCTTCACATTCTACATGAAACTGGGAATCATTTTCTTCAAAATATTCCTGGCATTCTTGTTTTAATTCTTGAGTTTCTTTATATGCTTCACTTTGGTTACTCACTGATCTTTTAAGACTGATATCGGATATGTTCTTTCCTGGTTCAGGATTATACCCCAATTTTTGATCGGTAACTACTTCTGTGTCTACTTCCATATCTTTTAAATCTTTAACAGGTACGTCACTTTCAACACTCCTTATGTTTGTGTTCATCGGCTTCTTCCTAGCCTGCAAACGCTTTGAAACTTGTTTGCCATTTTTGGTTTGCTCTTTCACTTTGTTAGTTGAAGCTTTAATATTTTTGTTTGATAACCTATTCTTAATCCACTCTTCATATCCAGTTACCTCTCCATTTTCATTTACAATATCGACAGGATCTGAAAGTTTAAATTTTGTCATTAGCATTACAAATCACCCTTTAAATCTCATGACAGCAAATTCTGAGAAAAGTGAATTCTACAGTAAACCTCACACTACACGTGAGTAGAGTGTCCTGGAGGCTGTCACTAGTAAACCTCACACTACACGTGAGTAGAGCGTCCTGGAGGCTGTCACAGTACGTACAGCCAACTGTAGAGTTTATCTTTTAACAAAAACAAGGCAGTGTTCTGAGACTGGTAAATCTGTGTCACTGTCTGCAGCTGACACTTCAAAGTGAGGGAAGTAGTTGGTGGGGTAATGTAGTGTTTCTTGCTGTTAGCCTAATGATGACTGTGTGTGTGGTGGCCAAGGAAAGGGGAGATGAAGGTGGTGGGAGTGTGACCTTTTTAACACGCACGCACGCACGCACGCACGCACGCACGCACGCACACACACACACACACACACACACACACTTACACTTAGGAATCAGTTATTGGGGTAGATGGGTAGCAGAGAATTGTTGTGCAAAATTAAAAAAATTATATCAGTAATAGTATTTCCATGGGATATGTAGGGTATGGGACTGCAGCCTCAAAACATACACCAAAAAATTCTAAAGACACCACTTTTCTTATTTCAAAACACTTATTAACAAATTATCACTCGCCTTAAAATTTGAATATTTGCTTCCTTGACTGCAATCGTTCAGACTCAAGGTAAGTGATGGAGCAATGTAACATAGGGTGTTCGGAATCATGTAGATCTGCGCTAGGGTTCAGTTAACATCTACAGCCTCAGGTTGTTATTATCAACTATGTTTGCTTCTACTTACGATAATTTGAAATGTAGCTCTACATCATATATGGCATGTACTGTACTATCCACTCTGCTATGTACCTACAGTACTTTCACACTTACTGAATGTATGGTAAAGTACAGTACAGCTAGACCCCGACTTACGACCGCCGCAGATTTTTTATTAAAAAAAAAAATAATAAATAAAAAAAAAATAAATAAATAAATAAATAAATAAATAAATAAATAAATTCAAATGACATGCATTTTCTATACCGAAACGTTTCCAGTTAATGTAGTCTCCATGTATAATTAGAAAATTATGGGGGCCCCATGTGCATTCAGCTGACTAAATTAAAGGTAAGTGCTCAGTCACACTGTGTCCATTCCTTATTATTTATTACTTTCACTGTACTGTATCCATTCCTCATTATTCATTACTTTTACTGTACTGTATTTCATTGTAGATTTTTTATTAAAAAAAAAAAAAAAATTATCTATGTCGGACTTACGACCTGGATTTGGGTCCCTAACCCCGTCGTAAGTCGGGGTCTAGCTGTATATATAACTGTAATCACTTATAGCATCTTAACACTGCTTTAAGACTGTATTCTTGGCTGACTGTATCTTGGTACAGTACTGTATAGTGCTGCACAATACAAATTGCATACAAAAACAGCAGCAAACAAGGGAGCAACCTTGTACAATGACAGCAGAATATGGACTGAGTGCATGATCCTATGCCCTAAGTTACCCAAGAAGCTAGCCCACCCATGTGCCTGGCATGCAGGGACGCACTGGAGCAAGATGAAATCTCAGAAAATTCGTTCTCACACCAGGAACAGAGAGATTTTTCCTGAAATTTCACGGAAGGTTAAAAAAAATCATTCTGGCTATTAGAGAGATTATTGTATTCAGTATTTAATGTTTATAATGTGCTTCATTAATTGCTGTACAATGTTTATAAGTCTCGTACTACAGTTGAATCTGGATTTACGCGGATTTTTGTTTACTCGTTTGGTCATTTACGTGGTGCCTTGCCAGAATGAAATGCTTTAATTACGCGGTAAATTTGGTCATTTACGAAGGTGAAGTATAATTTGTTTATTTACTGAAGATATTTGTTTTAGCTCATAAAATTCATACAAATTACCCGGCCAAAATATAATTTACATTGCTAGAATTCTTATAAGATTGTGATTATTTTAAATATAAACATCATGGAATTTGCATTAGACATACAAATTTTAGATCTAATGTAAGAATTTTGATTAGAAAGAGCCAAAATTTTGTGCAAAATATATGACGTTCATATTCAAAATATTCCTGGTCTTGCAAGGAATCCAGCAATGTCAATTATTTTATCCTAACTTTAGTCAGAGGTATTATTTATTACTAAAAATGTAAGCCTTCTGTTTTCACCCAAACATTTCTCAGAGAGGGAGGAGCCAGCGAGCGTGGGAAGAGGGCAGCGGGAGTTGAGTCCATTATTTGAAAGGACATTAACTGGTGACTGTATTTCTCTTAAATATTAATTGTGTGTGCATACCAACATAAAATTAAGATGTTATTTTTACTACAACGTAGGTATTGTGTCGGAAAAGTGGAGTTTGAGGGTCAGCCCAGTCTCTATTTCAATTAATCCCATATGTTCTGTTATTTCATTTACGGTACTCCGCGGGTTCAATTGACCACGTAAATGAAGACCCAACTGAATTCATTTTTAAAAATATAGAAGACACCAAACAAATACCAATACGGATATATGCATGACTCTCCTGCAAAAAAAGACCAAACAGCTGGTACTCTCTCCCTCAGCCCTACCAAAAATAGCCCAACAACATCTTTCTTGTTTATTCTCTTCCAATTTCTCACTTTAACTGGTATTTTCTACTTCATATTGCCTACACCAGATAAACTACAGTAATTGAGATTAGACACAGTTATAAATTTGATTACCGGGTACTGGCAGGATGCCGTTAGAACCACCTGACCCTACCAACAGTGTTGCAAGTCAGACACAGCATTTTTTTTTTTACATTTTTGGTGTCTCCATTTGTGTTAATTTTTTTTTCTGTGGGGTTTGCACAATAATAAACTGTTTTACCTACAGTATTGTAAAACAATTTGGGAAAAGAAATACTCGGTAACTTAAAATTTTAAAAGGAAAATCTTGAAACTGGCAACTGTGTGTAGATGACCTGACTCACATCATATTATGATTTTGATGGATTTTAATGAAAATATTCAGAAATATGGTATCGTAGTGAATTAGGATAGAATATTATTGTAATACAACAGGTTTTTAACTGAAAACCATTCAAAAAGAGATTACGGTAAAATCTTTTGAACAACGAAAGAAAGCGAAAGTCACTGTTTTCGTCACGATTTTATCCCACTTTCCACTGTAATACGTACGTCATTTCAGCAAAAATATTACATTTCCATATTTATTTCTGAGAATATATTCATTCAGGCACAGTTAAGGTAAAATATACTTGTGATGTAATATCTTAATGAAAATATTTAGAAATACGGTATCGTAGTTTTCTTTTGTTTCAAATTTAATTAACAATGATTGATGTTTCAAATTTAATGAAAAAAAATTTATGTATCTATAAACTTTTAAAAATGAATACTTTATGTTTTACATCGTCCTGTGCTACCATACCATGCATTTGGCTACTTTGGGCTTGCTATGATGACGCAAGAGATCTGCCCTGGCAACTGTACCGACACTCACAGCTGGTGGTGCGTCGTTTCCATTGTTTACTGACAGTTACTGGTAAATATTTTTCAACCTAACGAAACTATTACCCATTTAGAGGTCGACCCCCAATTTTTTGCCAAAAAATTTGGTCTTAAAAACTCGAACTACACACAGGTATATACGGTATGTATGTATGTATGGACTTTTAGGAACAGAACCCTTATAAATAATGAGGACCTACAGAACATAAAAGAACCTCTCCAGACCTTCCTCATCCAGTTTCTCAATGCTGTAAGTGTTTTACAGTGTATATACTATATCTAATGCAATCTGACAGGTAAAGAAAAGACAATCATTTCTCCTTACCTGAGCTGTCTGGTATTAATGATAAATAAACACTAGAGTTATCATTGGAATAGCTAATGCCACTGACTGTGATCAATAGGCTTAATTAATTGTTTATGAAAAGGTTATACGTATACTGTATATGGTAGTTAATGTAGCCCAAAGATCCTTAGTTATTCTGTGAAATTCATTTGTATTCAGCTCTATAACTTCATACTTCCAAACTTTTCTGAATAAGGAAACAAATCCATCGAAGAACAAAGTACGTACCAGTTTCCATGTCATTTTTCAAGTCAAAGAATGAGGTAACCCAATACCCATCCTCTGGGAACTTGTCAGGAGAGATTGCTTCATGGCTGTGAGTTGTCTTGCCAGCGTATTTATTTCTACGGCAGAAATTCTTCCGAGGAGGAGGGGCAGAAGGAGGAGGAGAGGCAGAAGGAGGAGGAGAGGCAGAAGGAGGAGGAGAGGCAGGAGGAGGAGCAGGAGGAGGAGGAGGAGCAGGAGGATATTTCTGTGGAATAAGTATTATTAATTATTATTCTTTTACTAATTACTTGTTGAGTAAGCAGGGAGGTAAAACACATTACAGTAAATGGTTCATTTTCATATATCATCCTATCCTTTTCTTCATGAAAAAGTTGAGTGAGAAACTACTTTTGAAATAAATTTCATCTACACCAATTATTTCAGCTAACAGGGGAGATCACTGTAGCCTAATTCACTAATTATCAACACTTAAATAAACCAAACAATAGCACTGTGATACTCATAAACTCACCGGATCTGCCCATCTTATCTTTGCATAGCGAGATATTTCAAAAGGTTCACCAAACCCAAGTGGATTTTTGTGGAAAGTGAAGTTCTGTAGTGTCAAATCTTTCACATCATTGGCATCCACTGCAAATTACAGGTGTTAAAGGTAAGATTACATATTTTAAGGCATTATAAGTTTTCTGTGTTTAATGATTCTTTTATGAAACCTAATGGCATGGTATGAACCTCAAATGGCATGGTATTAACTTACAGAATACCAATTATTTCATCTCATATCAGGGCAGTGTGAACATAATGGTATCTCACATTTAACATTAATTCGTTTTAGCAATAAAATATTTTTACACCCTTTCTCACTTTACATTAGGTCAAAATTTGGGTTTGCAATAGCTTGACTCAGTGTGAAGGGGGAAAACTGGGGATGAGGTGGTCTGTGAGATGGCATGTTGCCATTATTACATGTACTGAAGCTATTAAAGTTGTGGAATAATCATTACAATACAGTCATGCGCCGGTTAACGTCCGACCGAACAACGTCCGACCGCATGTACGTCCGTCCCCACACACCAAAAAAAAATCAGTGACGCCTGCTGGACCACCACTCCACGACCCCCTGACGGAGACACGATGATCCTCCCCATACTGGTCAGATATTATGTGTTAAAGGAATATGCTTCCTTCCTTAGGCTTTTTTTAAGCATTTGCCTCCAGGTGTAATGTTAACCTACATCTATTGAGGATAAAATCTTTCACCTACAAATTGACAATAACACATTTGCTGCAATCAGACATATCTAGTTGCCTCAACAATTGCACCCCCAGTTGCAATTGGGGTTGCAATTTAAAATTCTGTGGCATTACTAAGAATAATGAGGCACACACTTATTGGAATATTTGGGGGCAGGTCCCAGTTGGGCAGATTACAATGGATCTTCAGGTGGTTGGATCGTTGTACGCCAGTGATTCACGCTGAAACACCGGTGGTGGCAGTGGATATTGCTGGAGAAGTTTGCCAGGATATGGAAGCAACTTTCCGAAATTCAAATTGTTACGACCAGGACGGTAAAATGTCAGCGACCAATGTGGAAACGTTGATAGAATTAATTAGCTTCCTGTTAGTTGTTCGTCGTCCCCTATACAGCCGGGCACAGGAGGTACAGTTTGAACCACCTATAGATACGGTTGATCACGCAAACAGACTCTGTCCCACGGCTACGGGCCCTTTGATGGCGCAGCCCTCCATGACTACGGCGCAACCCCAGATGGCACAGATGACACCACCCCAAATTCCTCATACGACACCAGTGGCTCCGATTGCACCTCAACACCGGACATACAAACAAGGTACTTCTTTACGATGTGCTCATTGTAATAAAAGAGGCCATGTAATTGAAGACTGTTTCCTGCTCCAGGGTAATAGTGCAAAATTAAAGGAGACATCCGGTGCCAGGCAGATCACAAGATCATACTCGGAGGCAGCTGAGGCGACATCTCCACCTACCCAGAAGGCACGCAAGTGGTGCGCACTACACAAGTCGCATCTCATAGCACACAAGACTGCGGCTTAGTAATGAAGGCTAGGAATGTAGACTTTGGTGAAACACAAGTGTCGTACAAGCGTAAACAGAAGCGTCCCCAAGACAAGTCGTCGGGGGAAGACCAGCGCTACAGTATTTCCTGCTTCTCCTCACAGCACTTCTATAGCGGCCTCGTTAGTAGCGGCGCTTAGCAAAGTGGAAGTGTTGTCAGTGCTGGTGAGGGTTGATAGTACAAGATTGGCTCTTGATATTGACACGGGTGCATGCGCTAATGTTTTGGCCTTGACATCCTATCAGGAGTTACAACATAATTTCCCTCACCACGACTTCAAATGGAGGCCTAGTAACGCTGAGCTCGAAGGAGTATTAGGTACTCAGTTGAGCATTAACGGAATGGTGACGTTACCACTCAGATTTTCAAGACGTGGTTCTCCCTTCTACACGGACTTTTATGTAGTTCAGCAGTTCAATTTGCCAGCTGACGGCTTACTTGGTCTCTCAACCCTTAGAACGAATATGATTGATGTTCATCCACGTAATAATACTATTACGTTTAAAGGTGTTTCCTACAACGCTATGCGTCATTCTGAACCTATGCTCACCGCTAGGTCGAAAGTGTTGTCCACCATTCCCACTAAGAGGAAGGCAGAAAATGTGTCAGAGTTACACCATGACCTCACACCCTCACTTTCCCAGCGTGATTATAGCAGCAATAGTTGGAAGATAGTACCTGCAGTTTTGAAGAGTACTCTCCATTACCAGAAGGAGGAATTCACAAAAACAACTGTCGAATTACCAGACGTGTACACGGGCACTGATGTTGCATGGCTCCCGGAAACGTGCAAGGTAAAAAGGTTGTCGTGTGAGTCTACGTTGAGCACGATACGCCCAGGTGGTTTGACAGACGTACTGATTCTGTATAGAACAGGCGTTCAACGGATATTAAAGAAAGGATGTTATTTGTGTGATTTTCTAGTACCCGGTATATCACAACAATGTCGAAGTTCAGCCTACAAAATTCCCAATTGGTAGTATTGTTACTCAATCCCAACAGACTCGGCAGGAGAGGAAAGATCAAATAGCGCCACATGTTAAGGTGATCGATCATCCTCAGGGCAAGACACGCGTTTTAGAGCTCCTTGCTGACTATAGAAATATTGTAGCCTTGCCAGGGGAAAAGCTAGGTCAGACAATGTGTGTCTATGTTCAAAGCTCTTACTCTTAAACAACAATCACAGTGACAGTCTCCACTTACTGACAGTCTAATGAACCTCATTAGGTACACCCATCAAAATACATACTGTTAACTAATAGTGTGCAACAATTGGGCCATGGTTTAAACAATGTCACTTTAGCTGCTGCTGCTGCTGCTGCTTTAACTCCACATGTAATATTGCAATTGAAGATATTTTAACTGATCTGAAATTAAACAGTTAAATTAAGAGCTGTTAACATGCCTGACTGGTTCATCATTCAGAACACAATACAATACTCAGTCCAGCACAGACTAAGACAGTCTCTGAGAGGGTGTCCTAAGACCTAATTTTTCTTTGACTGAGAATGTCAGAGGAATAAAATTAAATTATGAAAGTGATTTTCTTAAGGAACATTTACATTTATATTTTTACTGGCAACATCCATTAGACATGGAGAACCTTTCTTTTAAAATTTATGGATCAAAGTATAGTTAGACAAGTAGCTATGATATAGTCTAATAAACCATTGTGCACGGGGTCCTCTCTGTGCTGAATAAAATCTTCAGGTGTTTGCCAAATAAAATTTTACAATTGGCATCCTCATAGTGAAGGGGTTAATAGAAAGATGCTCTGAAAGTTCTAATATTTTTTTACAAGCAGATGATACACATAAATTATTTGTTCTGAATATTGTACTGGTTCCATACATTTAAAGAACAGAGAGCTAATTTACTTACAGTATCTTTGTACGTCAATTAAAGATCGCAGTTTTTTCCCCGCAGGTGGATGATAATAAACATCATTGATAATTTTTGTGGATGCCGAGCGTGTCACAATTTCTCGTAACCATCCTGAGAAGATAACAGTAAAAATGTAATTAAAGTATGCTGGGGTTGATCAAGTAAAGAAGGGCTGAAAAGGAACTTCAGTACACATGTGTCAACACAACTGCAATTGGTTTCCATTACCCAGACAAACTTACTTCCAGCAAGAAAAATGCATAAACAAGAAGTGTAAATTAGGAATTGAAGGCATTGTTCAGATGAGTCACTAATCTCACTATTCCAGTCAACTACAAAGAGGAATAATTTTAAGGCTGGAGAAGGCATGAAAGATTGATAAACCCTGCAGAGAGGAGGGAGTGGATAGGGAGGAACCCTTCCCACCAAGGAAAAAAGTACTAGTAAGTGTAGTAGTCTTAGAGTTATTTTTGAACACAGTGGTCCCTCGATTAACGAACACAATTGGTTCCACAGAGTCGTTCGTTAACCAAATCTATTATTTCAATGGGATATTGGGTAATTGGTTCCAACTCACAGAAATAGTATACATATAAAGTACTGTACCAGTAATAGAATTAACAAAACAATAGGTATAGACTAAATACAGTACTGTACTGTACTGAATAGTATACTGTACAGTAATACCACGATTTATGCGGTCAATTGAACCCGCGGAGGTCCGCGTAAAACGAGAAACGCGTAAATGTAATAACAGAACATATGGGATTAATTGAAATAGAGACTGGGCAGACTCCCAAACTGCACTTTTTCCGACACAATACCTATGTTGTAGTAAAAATAACATCTTAATTTTATGATGGTATGCACACACGATTAATATTTAAGAGAAATACAGTCGCCAGGTTAATGTCCATTCAAATAATGGACTCAAACCCCCCCCCCCTCTTCCCACGCTCGCTGGCTCCTCTCTCTCTGAGAAATGTTTGGGTGAAAACACTAGATTTTAAGGTATAGTAATAAATAATACCTCAGACTAAAGTTAGGATAATATAATTGATATTGCTGGTTTCCTTGCAAGACCAGGAATATTTTGAATATACACGTCATATATTTTGCACAAAAGATAACATATTTGCTCTGTGTAAACAAAATTCTTACATTAGATCTAAAATTTGTATGTCTAATGCAAAATCCATGATGTTTATATTCAAAATGATCATCATATTGTAAGAATTCCAGCAATGTAAATTTTATGAGCTAAATAAAAAAAATATACTTCACCCGTGTATATGAGTACCGTATATCTCGGCCTACAAGGCGATGGGGTATATAAGACGGCCCCCAAATTTCCATTTAATAAGTAGCTTTTGAGCTCTATTTGCTGTATAAGACCGGTACCCGAAATGTGACACTTACCATTGGGAGCTTACTGACCCAGTAGTCCTTTACCAACCATCCCATTGACCAGTGCTGTTTACACATCCTTGGTTTTTTAAAATAAGGCCAATTCACTTCATGTAATGGCATCAAATGTTGCCGGTTGATGTAGTGTAAACACTAGTGACTCACTTAAACGTCTGTTATTTAACTGGAACTAATGTCGGTGTCGAATACAATTGTTTCATTTACTTGAAATGGATTTACCGATTTATTTGTTTATTTATAACATACTGTAATGTATTAAACACACTGCAAGTATTTTCTTTAATTTATAAGCTTGCTTCACGAGAGACAATCGGTGGCGGGACTGTTCCGACTGTTTACACCAGCTACAGTATTCTATTTCAATAGTGTTTCATTAGGATTTGAGTGAAAAAGATTACTGTACATACTTACTAAATACATTTATTACACAAATATATATATATATATTCACAATATTTTATAATTGCAGTCATGTACTGAATATTCTATGTAAAAAATATAAATTTTAAATGAATTATTTATAGTGTGGTCGACTTCCTACATAAAGACAGGCTATAAATAGCCGTCTTATCTCCCCTCCATCTCTTACCCTCTGTTCTCAGAGAGAAGGTCTTGGTAAATAACTTTTGTTTGTTTATTTTCATTGTTTGTCTAATTTATCATGTTGTATCAAAGTAATATTACTAAAAATTTTAGGCAGCTACCAAACAGGGAGGTACTATTGCCTGGGAAGATATTGGAAGCATAATGTACAGTATTGTCTAATGGTAGACCCTATTTCCATATGGCATCACGAAAATTGTGACCAAGTCTTAGGTTGCTGATCTATCTTTCTGCCTCATTTACACACAATTGCAGAGTCTCAATTGTTTCTCTTCCTTTGACAACACAACATACATACAATATAATGTTTCTCACCTTTGATCTTTTTTTCATTTTTGCATTTATTTATGGTTGGTTATTTAAAATAAGGCCAATTCACTTCAAGTATTGGCATCAAATTTTACCAGCTGGTGTACAGTAGTGTAAACACTAGTGACTCACTTAAGCGTCTGTTATTTAACTGGAACTAATGTCGGTGTGAGTAAAATATTTCCATTTACTTGAAATAGATTTACCGATTTATTTGTTTGTTTATTTATTTATAACATACTGTAATATATTAAACACACTGCAAGTATTTTCTTTAATTTATAAACTTGTTTCGCGAAAAAGGGAGGCTATACCCGGTAGGTGAAGTTGACCTGATACATTTATGGTGAACATTAAGGAAGAAACTCCGAATCTGATGACGTGACTTCGTGTTCATCATGCTCATCCTAAATTTACCACTGTCGGTAGTTTCAAGAATTAACGCAGTTATTTCCTGAATATTCTTTTTAAAAAAATAAATTTTAAATTAATTATTTATAGGAGATAAGTATTATGATCAGTAAATTTACAGATATGCATTACTGACCACCTCGAACACAAGACGGCTAAAAATAGCCACAGGCGGTCACAGTCAAGGTCACTTTCCCTTTCTTGTCACTGGTAAATGGGGGGGGGGGTTGATGATAGCAGCTGTGTTTATTACCAGGGTATATTGTTCTTTTACGGTATGTTAGACAGGTTTATAATACATTTTTATTATTTTAATATACCGGTAATCTTAATTTTAATCCAGCTTCCCAAACGTAAGTTTCAGTATAAAATAATTAGTGGTAGGACCTTGTGAGTGGTTTACGATGTTTCCATCACCACTCTTGACACGCTAAACCACAATATTTAAGAGGTAAGAATTTTATACCTGGTGATTAAGACGACCCCCTAACTTTGGGCTGATTTTTTTAAGGTTCAAATTCCGTCTTATAAGCCGAGATATACGGTAGATGCACCGCGTAAATTGGGCATTCCGGTTCTGGCGGGGACCGCGTAAATGTGGAAATGCGTAAACGAGAACCGCGTAAACCGGTATTACTGTACAATAATAAATAAAAAATTAGAATACAGTATTTTTAACTTACTTTGAGGTGTGTATGTCGTATTCCCGGCAGCTTTGTTTACATATCAAACAGCTGATTGTAGAGGCAGTCAATGATGACATGCCATATTCTTTACAGAGTGCATTGGTTCTAATGCCTTTTTCGTGTTTCATAATAATTTCCGCGCTTTATATTATCAATATGTTAACTAAATTTCAGAATAACCAATAATTTTAATATAGAAAATGCAGAAATATTCAAGAGACAAACTTTCTTGATATTTACTCCACTGGAAACAAATGTAAACATAGAATTGATTACTATATTGGCGGACTAGCCGATCAGCTGATGCGCACAACAAATCATGTTTGTCGTAAGGCTTTCGTTAATCAAAGTTTTGTTCGTTAATCGAACTGAAAATCCTTATGGGAGCTAATTCGTTAACCGAAATTTCGTTAATTGCACCGTTCGTTAATCCAGGGACCACTGTATTGTATAAAAAACACACAATTCACAATTTTTAAGTATAAAAAATACATTATGTTAGTTAAAGCAGGTATGGGGTGAATGGTGGTAAGGATTGCAGTGATGGGTGATGTGCAGGAAGAGGACGGGACAAGTCGTGAACCAAAAGAGAAAAAGTCGTAATACTTACCAATTTCTAATGGATACTTAAAAGTCAGAAGATTTCCTTCTTTCCTGACTTTTTTACTTATTATTCTATTCTCACTTAGGTATTCATTTATTTCTCGGTCAGAACAACAATCCATTCTGCATACAGGGGTCATTTTACGTTTCTTCTTAGCCACACACTCGCTGAAATGATAGTAATTGTTTTGAATATTTATCTGACTATTTTATCTACTAATGGGACTATCCCTCTATGGAATACTTTAATTAATATCCAACATGGTACCTCCAATTATCTTGTAAGACCTCCTACTCTACTCTGTACAAGATTATCAAAATTCACAATCCTTTCCTTTACCATATCTCATACTGGATCCCCTGTTCTCAGAGAACACTAACTCACCCCAAGACAATTAATTTTTCATTGCATCTTCTCACATACTCTCTAAACTTTCCTGCAATGTCCTGATTAGTGTTTCATTATGAAACCACAAGACTGCTGCTTTATACTTACATTGATTACCAGTGTTAATTATTTCACTACACTGTACTGTATTACTGAAGCAGGCATTCCTTACACATTGAACCAATTACAGGAATATATCTTAATATCCCAAAGTGCACACAATCCTATCTCCTATAATATGGAATAAACTGTTGAACTTTAAATGTAAATACACATGATTACCATTGTGTTCTTCCACCATTGTATCTATACATCCTTCAACTCTTTCAATAGTGTGTTCCTGACCCATAATATTTTACACTCCATTTTTCTCAACACAAATTAATGGTTTCTAAAGGGTGAACAGTAATTTAACTTTGTCAATATGTATCAGGTAAACATCTTAAGAACAAATTAATTCTCCTCTGTAGAAAGATCCAGCAGATCCAGGTGACCTTCTGTCAGCAAGACAAAAAGCTGAATTATACAATGACTTCCCACACACCTTAGTGCAAGCAGCCCTTCATTCCCCCCAAATTATGAAGAAAAATACTGCTTACCAAACTTGTCCCTAATTTTGTGGCATTATTCTATTATAGACATGTTTAGTTGAAAAGTAACTATACTTAAGGAGCTGTACTTAAATAAAAATTTTCAGGAACTATCTAGAAAGTACATTTGGAAATACTTTTAGCAGTGAGCCATTAGCTGATAATTCGTGTATGCTCATCACTTTCTGGCTGCTGTACAATCAAGGAAAGGGATGAGGGTTCATTGTTGTTACAGTATATATAAAACCCTTGATGAATGACACAAATAATGATTCCCAGCAGTAATGCTTAACCAATGGAGAAAAGCTGGGTAGGCAAAGTAAGAAGCTCCTCCCAGCCTTTTTTATCAATCAAGCCAATCAAAAAGCTGTGAAACAGATGAGCAACAGCATTAGTGTTGTCTCTTGTGAATTATTAACTTATGTGTACGAGTGATGCACACCAAGTTCTAGGGGAACAACTTTGTACAGTGTAGAGGAACAGTAATAGCTATTAGTGCTTTACAATATATGATTCTTTTATGCAATATTTTCTTTCAAAGATATTATTGTACTTGTCTTTTAGCCACCTATTCCACTTGACACATCTTGCAATCTGCCCTCCCTCTATCACCACCATCCATGTAAGTATGTACTGTATTGTGTGCATGTGTGTACTGTATCTTTTATATGCATTCATTCAAACAGATAGAACAGGAATCTGATGAAATTTGGTACATACAGTAAATGTAATCCAACAAGATCTGAAAAGTTGAATCATTGTTTTTTCTTTATATCATGGAGAGTCTGGGGACTTTTTGTCTATGGTAACATGAGACTTCAAAATATAGTAATAATATTTAAGAATGACAAAAGTCCTACACATAAAACACTTACCTTAGATTTTTTAATGGATTTGTGTCTAAAGATTCACAGTAGTCAGTATTTTGAGGCTTTTGGAAGTTTGATCGATCCCCTGGAGTATTCTGGTTGCAAGAGTTTTGTGTTCTTGCTGTGTATGAATGGTCTATAAACTTAGCTGAATTCTGCAGAGTGGATCTTGAAGCTACAGGAACAGATTTGGGATAGCTACTTTCCAAGTCATTTCTTGAATATGCATGGTCTAAAGATATGGTTGAATAGTTATGAACTTTCACTGTAGATGGAGGAGTTACAGGAGTAGATACATCACCATTTATCTGGATGCTGTTTGGATCTGCTTCAACAATTGGTGCAGATGCACAAGTATTATCCAACACATCAACACCCGTACCACATAATGGCATTGAATTGGCTACTCTTTCAAGAGAAGATACATGAATACTTTCCTCCATGTCACCTGAGTCTCCAATATCTACATATGCAGCAGGTTGGTCAAATATGTTTCCTAAAACTGGCATCATTTCTGTTTCAGTGAGAGGATATTCCTGTATGTTTTCTGGGGGTATATATCCAGGAGCTGCAACATCAGACATATTCTGATAACTCCCTAACACTGATTCACACAGGGATGCAGGAAAACAATAATTTTCTTTCTCGTCACTTGTGTCATCCAAAGCTACAGGTAAAGCAACCCAAGACTTTGGAATGTTTTCTGAATGTGCTAAATCTGGGGAAGATTTCAAACAAGTTTCCTTTAGGTTTCTTGCATCTACCACAGTTGATTCTGTAACACTGCCAGAGTTTTCAGGGACATATTTTGAATTTGTTAAAATTCCAGGTACATCTGCAACGTGTTCTTCATCATCACTCGACCCTTCTTTGTTTGTGCCGGCGGTCATGTTATCACATTTCTGTATGTATCCTGCATTTGGTGAAGCAATTACATCACTCTTGTATTTACATCTTGAATATTCATTGTTTATTTGTACTGATATAATAAATTTTTCTCCCTTTTTTGTGACAGTTTTAGTGATCCGAGGTATGGAAAGACTGTCGTCATTCAGGTGTTTTATCTCATATTTTACGATCCCATATAAGGAAGTGTCTGCATTATTTACAAGAGGCTTTTTTGTTTTGGGGACACTCTGCTTCAAAGATCGTCCTGAAAGTCTCTGCTCCAAGGTATAAGCGCCAACAAATACCGTCCCTGTTTGGAGAGGCTTTTTGAGGGGAGTTGCATCACCAATGAACTGAGGAGTAATTGCACTTACTATTCTATCTTCCAATATGTCATCACTACTATGAGGCACAGATGAAGACAAACAACTGTACACTTCAGAGATTGCGGGAGTCTCACATTTGGCTACTTTAACACTTTCACGAGTTGCATCTTCACCTGACACAAATAATGTAACATGGCTCTTAATCAGCTTTGGCTCCACAAAATCTTGGAAGGGAACCAATACTTTCTTTGGTTGAATTAATCTTTCCTTTTCCTCAGACTCATCAGACACATATGTATATGATAATTCTTCACCAGTGTTTGTTGCTACAGTTCTGCTTGTTTCACCATCTGGTATTCTATTCTCACTTGATGCTGTTATACAATTACTTAGAAATGATTGGCTTGAATTCCCATTTTCTTGAGACCTAGTAGAAACATACATGGTTCTTGTCTTATCTTCATTGGAACTTGTTGCTATGCTGCTGATTTCTTTCCAATTAGATATTTTTTCACTTTTGTTTATATTTAATTTACTAGAAACTGGTGTCACAGTTTCAATTATCATAGACTCTGCTCTAGGTTCTTGGTGTGGAGAATTATGATACATTTCCTTTGCCATGTTTGACACAGCAGAGGCCCAAGTTATGAATGGCTTGCCAGTTTTAAGTTTTCTTATATTCTTCACTTTCACTACAGGTTGTTTAACTGTCTGTTCTGTTTCCTTCAGATACTCCTCCTTCAATTTCCATTCTACAGCTTTTTTAATGCCTGAAAATACAACATTTGAATTAATATATATATAAAAAATGCTGCTACTACTACTACTACTACTACTACTACTACTAATAATAATAATAATAATAATAATAATAATAGAGCATGGACTATACTGTATTTCCTTTATTATCAGTAAATATTTAGGACTTCAGAAGTTTATTTATTATTTTATAGAAGATAAAAAGTTTTATAACTTTCTTAATGTGATGGAAAAGTGTTCAGAAAGAAAGAGAAAAGTGTATGATGGTGACTAAGAACAGGTCAGAAGATGAAACAGTAAAGTTTAAGTGACACAAGATGAACACAAATTTCTCTGACTAAAAGAGTTAATCAGAATTACAGGTAGTCACCATAGTGGGGACTTCATTTGATAATAAAAAGAAGGAAAAAATAGCTTGGATGGTAAGGAGTCAAGACACTAACTGTATTAAACACTTGCAGCTATGATCTTGCCAACCCCACCCAATAGTTCTTGATAATGCCATGGAGGAATGATGATGAAGGGTTCACAAATACTGTACTGTAGTCTGTATCTTAACTGTTTTTGACTTCGGTGAAGAGTTTACCAATTGTGCATCTACAAGAAAGATTTTATTCTGGTACCTATGTCATTTGGAGTTGGTATGCCTCCCAAACCGTGATTTCTTAAAGAATAAAAGGCCACAATTCTGCCAAAAGTCATCTGATAAAGTAGACTGATAGAAGCCATCTTAGTCTAACCCATCATCATTCCATCCATACATCATCTGCCCCAAACTTCATGGTATTCACTTGAAAATTTCTGTACAAATACATTTTAGAAACTTATGATTACAAAGTGGTGGAAAAGAAGACATTATGACTAACAGTGAGTTTATAGTTTCTCCTTCAGCAAGTACAGTACAGTGATCCCTCGGTTAACGAGCACAATTCGTTCCAGAAGGTTGCTCGTTAACCGAAATTTTTTTTAACCGAAACCATTGTTTCAATGGGTTTTGGGGTAATTGGTTCCAGCTCACCGAAAATTACATATGAACTAAAAGTAAATGCAGTAAAGTACACTTACTTTGAGGTGTCATGTAGAAGGCTCCTGGTTGATGATGATGGGAATTAGAATGGGTGTGGAGGAGAAGGGAGAAGAGAAGGCATTGGGGTGGAAGAGAAGTCACCCCATGCTGCCATTTCACCCATAAAATTTTAGTTCACTTGGTGTAATTCAAGATTATTTTCTTTAAATCAACACTGCACTGCACTATATATTATCAATATGTAAAATATGTTTCAAAATGACCAATAATTTGACTGGAAACACAGAAAAAAAGCATTTATGTTGAAGAGTCTCAAACAAGATGTTCCTTCCTCTGAACTAGTAAACAAACTGACGCCAAGCTTGGTGTGTTGAGTGGCTGTTTGGCGCGCAAAAAACTAGTTTCCTGTACTTCAATTATGTTCAATAATTGTTAAAATGATTAAAAAATTTAATATAAAACTTTTAAAATTATTGAATAGTACAACCTTCTTGATATTTACTAAAATGGTATGGAATTTAAGCCCTAAAACCGATTACTGTATTGGCGGACTAATGCTACAGCTGGTGGGCAGCCAAATGCAGGCGAAAACAAGTTGGGAAAAATTCGTAAGGAATTCGTTAACCGAGGGTTTGCTCGTTAACCGAAGTGAAGAACCCTATGGAAGGTAATTCGTTAACCGAAATTTCGTTAACCGAGGCGCTCGTTAACATAAGGATCACTGTACTGTAAATCCTACAGTACAGTATTCAGAAAGGACAACACTAATTCTAAACAGGGGGTCACCCTAAATATCCACAAGGGATTACAGGCATCCCCTGGATTACGGAAGGGATCAGTCCCTGAAAATCTTTCCGCAACGCAAAATTCCCTAACACAAAACCATTTTTTCCCCATTGACTTCCATTATATAAGTTGAGATGCATTCATACGTAAATTTTTTGAGACCCAAAAACGTGACACAAGCACATACTGTATGTATGATATTAGATGGTTTTAACATGATAATAAATGGAAAAAAAAACACTCAAATTTTACTTACAAGAAATGATGGTGAGTACTGCAGCAGGTGGTGAGGTGGTGCGATGGAAGTTACTGGGAGTCACCTCCTTAAAACATCATATTTATTGTTCAATGCAATTCCTTTATGGAATCTTTTACCACAACTGCTTTCACTTGAACTTGATAATCTTTTCCTACTCATCGTGAATAAGGGTACACAGTAACACAGAGGCATAACTGAACACAAACTGGGAAAAGAATTCAAATTGAGAAGTGCCATTGTTGTGGTGGTTGCTGGCAACTGGGGAGGTGAGCGGCATTCCAGCCACCGTGTGGCTACCACAGAGAATCCACAGGAAATAATGTTTATAATTTTGATAACAATTTGGGTCAAAAGGATGTTTTTTTAAATTGTAAAGTTTTCCAAAATTCCATAAGGGCAATTTTTTCTGTAGCCCCAAATTTTGGTAATAATTTCAAAATTCCGCAAGTGCGAACTTCCGTAACCAGGGATTCCATAACGCTGGGGATGCCCGTATAAAATTAGAAAAGTCTGAAGTTTGTAAGTTTACTAACAACAAATAGGCAACTATGTCATAACATCATTACTATTTTCCAGCCATTTTTCCCTGCGTGGATTGGTTAGTTACACAATGCATGGTGTGGAGGTTGCCATCAGGGAAATTTGGAGCAAGTTTTATGGCTGGATGCCCTTCCTATTGCCAACCCACATTTACCAAGTGGTAAAATACCTTCTACTTAATCATAAGCTTACATGGAGACGTACAAGTGCAATAAAAATACTATACAGTATAAAAAAAACAAACCTTGATTTTCACAAAATTGAAATTTCTTGGATGACCGAAGCACACGTTGAACCAAGACCACCATCTTTTTACATAGTGGTAAGTATAAGGAATTGCAAAGAGTTTCTGCAATCTTAATGACAGTCATCTTTGGATTTTTAAAGAGGATACTCTTTATGCACTCAGCCCGAAGTTCTGTTCCTTTATTGTCCCACCAACACATCCACATCTTCCGTGCATCCAAGATTCCTAGCCAATGTACATCAAAGTTCCTTCCTGTTGTGTCACCTGAAAGATAATATGACATACAGTATACATATACAGTACAGTATATGGTATCATAATGGTAAATACATGTTGCACTTCCCAATTGTGATGGAGATGTTCCTTGGCAAGACCATGACTGGGGAACCAATTATAACATGGTGGAATAAGGGATACACTCCTAGACCCCCCCCCCCCAACATTACCTCACAAGGGCTACAACTTATGTACAAACAGATGGTGATGACCTATAAGAGGTAACCTGCAGCAACACACGATCTTATTTATTTATTTTTTCATCTGATAGAGTGTAGACGATCTTATTTATTTATTTTTCATCTGATAGAGTGTAGACTCCTTACGTCCATATTCCCTACTTGAAAAGGCATAACATAAGCCTGCTTTTAATTTGTCTAATACTGTACTGTACAGTGAACCCTTGAAGATTCGGCCCCGGTAAATTTGGATTTCGAAAGACTCGGACAAATTTGGGGGTTCCGGGGGGGCTTAAAAGCCTCCCTAAGAAGCATTCCCAAAACAGAGCATAGATCATCTCAGGCCCATGTAACTAAGATGTCAGCGTGCGGAACACAGCTGCCCAAGAAGGCGGGAAACATAAATAGAGTTGTCGATTGTTGTTTGTGGCAAATATTATTTAATTCGCTCTAGTAATGATACAATGTTTCTTTATTATGTTATCGTAGGTAAATGCATGGTTTATATAGTTTGTTTGTCACCGTGCCCATCACCGTTTTCAAATTAGACTTCAAGTTAGTGTATGTACTTCTTCCATACATACTTCTATCGTAGGCCTGGCAAGGGGAGTGAGTGACCACTAGTTAGCGTGTCGTCTACTGTTGTAACTCTCCTTGTTCCCTGCCATATTTCACTAGATTTACTGCTATTATTAGTGTTTACTGATATGATAGTGCTTAACAATGATTAATCATGACATTGCAGCCAGGTGACTCATCACTGTAACCACCAGGCTACTGGACCAAGCTGAGGTATTATGGTTGTTTTTCAACTTGTATTTTTGACCAGATATATAGTACACTACATAACTTTCTTCATTTATTTTTAGTCAGTTACCTGCACACACCATCCTACATACATATTGCCAAAAAAAGTATAAGAAATAATTGTCCTTAGGGCAAATACATAGAGGGAATATACATTTCTTTGCACACGAGTTAGCTGGCTCAGTGAGGTAGCGGGAGGAGGCTGCAGAGTGTAGGGGTGGGGAGCGTCACTAGGGAGTCGGCGGAGGTAGCGTCCTAGCTGGTCTCTATTGCTATGATGAAACAGGAGTGTATGCAAATGGCAACTGGGTTAAACTTTCATTTGGCTTATATTTACTTGTTTAGCAATAGTTATTTTCTTTGTAACTTATTTATTGGTATTACGTATTTTTATTTATTCCTCTTTATTTTTTTTACTGGTACTGTACATATTATTTTAAGGCTACAGGAGGAAAATACACAGAAGTTTTTTCCTAAATACTCCCTGCTAAAATGGGGGGTGCGCACCGTCTTATACGCCATAAAATACGGAACATTACTGTAGTTTTGGTGTTTTTTGTAAACATTATTTATCGTCTTTATAAATTTAGTACATTCACCGGAAGCTATGGACAATCGGCTTATTCGGACAGGTGTTTGGTCCTCCCCCACCTTTAGTCCAGACCTTTAAGGGTTCACTGTACAGTTGAGTCTGGATTTACGTGGTGTTTGCTTGCGTGTTTGGTCATTTACGCGGCACCTTGCCAGAATGAGATGTTTTAATTACGCGGTAAATTTCATCATTTACGCGGGTGAAGTATAATTTGTTTATTTACTGAAGATATATATATGTTTTTAGCTCATTAAATATATAATTTACATTGCTGGAATCCTTACAAGATGGTGATCATTTTAAATATAAACATCTTAACATTTGCATTACACATACATATTTTAGATGTAATGTAAGGAGATGATGAAAATTAGCAAACATTTTATCTTTTGTGCAAAATATATGACATTTACATTCAAAATATTCCCTGTCCTGCAAGGAATCCAGCAATGTCAATTATATTATTCTAACTTTAGTCTGAGGTATTATTTATTACTATACTACCTAAAAATCTAGTGCTTTCACCCAAACATTCCTCAGAGAGGGAACCAGCGAGCGTGGAAGGGGAGGGGGGGGTTGAGTCCATTATTTGACTGGACATTTACCGGGCAACTGTATTTCTCTTAAATATTAATTGTGTGCATACCATCATAAAATTAAGATGTTATTTTTACTACAACGTACGTATTGTGTCGGAGAAAGGGTAGTCTGGGGGTCGGCCCACGGGTTTAATTGACCGCGTAAACCGAGACTATACTGTAATCGGTTCTAGGGCTTACATTCGTTTCCATTGGAGTAAATATCAAGAAGGTTGTGCTATTCAATATTTTTCCAAGTTTTCTATTAAAATTATTACTCATTTTAACACTTATTTAACATAATTGCAGTACAGGAAACTAATTTTTGGTGTGCCCATCAGCCACTTCACTCACCCACTAAGGCGTCAGTTTTTGTCTCTGTTCAGTGGAGGAAACATCTTGCTTGTGGGTCTCTTAACATAATGATAATATATAGCGCAGTGAAGTATTGATTTAAATAAAATAATCTTGAATTACACCTAGTGAACTTAAAATTTTTTGGGTGAAATGACGGCATCAAGCATGGGTCCCCTGATAGGTGATTTCTCATCCATCCCCACTTCCTTCTCTTCTCCCTTCTCCTCCACCCCCACTTCTAATTCCCATCATCATCATCATCAACCATACACACCTCAAAGTAAGTGTACTTTACTGCATATTTTTTTACGTTGTATGTACTTTAAGGTGAGATGGAACCAATTACCCAATATCCCATTGAAACAATGGTTTTGGTTAAAAAAAATTTCGGTTAACGAACGACCTTCTGGAACGAATTGTGTTCGTTAACCGAGGGACCACTGTACTAAGTTGGAACTGGAACACATACATGTGTAAAATTCCCGATACAGTTCTCCCCATTCGCCAGAATTATTGCTCCCCGGAGTTCTCCAACAGCCAGAATGAATTTTTTACCTTCTGAGAAATTCTAGGAAAATTATCTCCATTCTGGGCATGGAATGAATTTCCAAGGATGGAATCATGCACATTTCCAGAAAATTCTGAGAGAATCTCTCCATCACACATGGGAAAGATGAATCTAAGTACTGTACATAAAAATCAGATTCTTGCAAAGCTGGTATAAATGAGAGGACACACACACACACACACACACACATGCACGCACGAACCCACTGTATACAGGGCATACTATAAATGTATATGCACAAAATATCACAGAACAAGTGATTCACATAAACTAATGGTAACCAACTAAGACAAAGAAACATGAAAAAATCCAAGATCTTTCATATTTATCCACACCTTGTGCAGTAGTGGTGTACTGTACTCACAACATAATCAAGAAAGCATTCAATATAAATCTTCATATTTGTGTATTCTAGGAGTACAGTAGTTGTCCCATCACACACATACAGAAACATTGTAAATAACAAACATTTACTGTACTTACTTTCCTGGAGGAATCCAAACATTTTTTTCCAAACTTGATGTAATTCATCAAAGTAAAAGAGAGGACTGAGCATTAGCAGTTTCTTCATCATGATGGCTGAAATTCTTTTCTTGAAGACTTTGGGTAACTTAGCATGCAAGTATTGTGTTGTTAATTTGCGATTGTATATGTTTAAAAACATAGTAGCAGTAGTAGAGACTTCAGCTTGCATTATGTTCACAAACTCCATATATGAACGAGGCTTCCTAACTCTGTTGGTAAGGCCACAAGCTTTCCCAGCCACCAGGGCCTTGTCCAACCACTGGATATGATCATTCAAAAAGATGTGAGATTTATCTGAATACTCTTGGCCTTGCAGGTCCCAAAGCTGTAGCAGTTCATTTTGCAACAGATTACGGGTGACCTTTTTTAAGTTTGACTTGGTCTTCTTTTTGAACATACATGAACACTGTATCACCTCAACTGTTTTTCTCTCTCCCTGTGATGTGACGGTATTTGAAGCAACATCTGTCTCATGAATTTCTGAAATAATTCTACAGTATTCATTTAGTCGTTTTTCTCTTAAGTTGATCTCTTCAGTATTTTGATTAAATCCTTCAAAATCTGCAAATTCTATAAAATCAGTCATGGCATTTTGCTGTGACTGAACATCTGTTACACAATTATTATCTTGAGAATGAATCATGGTCCCTTGCTAATTATGTTACTCCACACAAGCTTTCTTTTGAGTGGATGGATGGCTTTATTGATTCACTTCAATTTACAAGTTAATGCACTTCTTTTTGTCATAACAATAAAACAATGTACAGTACAGTATTACTGCAAGTTTTTAACATCAATTTTCTTCCTCTGATAGATGACACAAGGTCAACAGTATTAGGGCACTGTTCCTGAAATTATCTGTAATGTTTTTGCTTCTCATTTGAATTTTCAATGAAAGAGATCTTCATGTTTCATTGACATAAGATGGGATACTGGTTAAATGTGAATTATTATTTTCAGTACGTACAGTATATGGTTTCACAAGAGAATGTTATAGAACATGAAGTATTCATGATATTTTGGGGTAATTTTACCATTTTTCTTCATGAGTATTTTCAAGTCAAATATAGTTGAGGACTTAGCAGACCAGCTAATTGTTTTGCTTCAGTTGTTCATTATCTGAAAGAGAAAATGAGATGAATTACACCAGACATTAATTACGTACTGCAATATATTTTCCATAAATTCTGGCCAGCACTAAATTAACTTACACACTGTTTACCTTGCAAGATTACTACAGTTTTCCAGGTGGTTGCCTCTACCGTAACTAATCTTAGGTCTAATAATATCTATTATAAAATTCTGCTGAATTGTACACCAGCTCTGTCTACAGTACAGTAGGTATGCCAGTACAGTATACATGATGAATCAATGAAAACCTGTATGACAACTTTCCTGAATATAATCTATCTATCTGGTCACACTAGGTTAGGTCTGATTTGTAGAACCAATCATATTTTTGTCTAATTCTTCATTTTTACTACTTATCAGCTTACAAGTCTTCCGGCAGTCGATCTGTTCTTTGTTACGACCTTCATTGTCCGGTGTTAGATCAGGAGGAAATTGGAGTAACCGGAAAAAACCTGTTTTGGTAGGATAACACGGCATAACACTCTTCTTAAATCTGACCCGAGCCAGGAATTGATCCTGGAACACAAAAGTGAGAGGCATGTTCATTACTGCTGTACCACCAACAAATGAACTGCCAATTCATATAACAAGTGCCTGGACAGCCAACTTGAGAAGTTGTGATGAAAGAAAACAGAAGCATAACAATCCCCCTACTTCCTGTATCTCCCACAGTCTGCATCTCCTCCCCCCCCCCAATTCGCAGTGTGCTTGGTAAGTGTCTTCGTGCCATTCATATGCGACTCTTTACGCAATGGCATCCAAATTCTGTTAATTTCCTAACGCAAAACCATTTTCCCCATTGACTTCCATTATAGAAGTGAGATGCGTTTCTATGGAAATTTTTTGAGTCCCAAAAACGTGACACAAGCACATACTGTATGTATGATATTAGATGGTCTTAACCACATACAATGAGTCATCCATGATGTAACATGATAATAAATGAAAAAAAAAATCACTCAAATTTTACTTATAATAAATGGTGAGTACTGCAGGTGGTGGTGAGGTGGTGCGATGGAAGCTACTGGGAGTTACCTCCTTAAAACATCATATTGTTTTTATTGTTCAACGCATTTCCTTAACAAGATTACATCAAAGCTTTTTTGACATCAAGTACTGTATACATGTTCAAGTACATTCATGAGCTCTTACATGTCCAGCACTTGCCAACAGTGCGTAATGGAGAACAGACCAGCTGCCCAACTGTTCAGAGACTGATGAGGGGCAAAAAGGATGAAGGTGTTCTCAAGTACTGTATGTAACTACCAAACATGGCAGGTTATCTCCGGGCACTACGGTTTCTTCCTGTAATAACACTGGACAATGAAGGTCATAACAAAGAGACCATCTGCCAGAGCACCTCGTAAGTTGTTGAGCAATGAGAAAATAAATAAATAATAAAAGAATGTTAATAGTGGAAGAGACAGTTACCACCTGAAAGAGTTTATAGCAGTATTTTCCACAGGTGTTGCTTGGATGATACAAAGTAATAAAAATGATACAGCCTTTTCCTTTAATTTTAAGTAAAGTTATTGAGTTTTCTTTTCTCTACCTATGATCATAAATCACCTGTCATGGGCAGGGCATGAAAGATGAGGGAAATTATGGGGTAAAATGCAGCCAAAAAAAAAAGATCATATGGCAGTAATTTCATGTCTCTATGCAAAGAAATAAAATTTTAACCGTAGATATTGAGCTGATATTTCTCCCGTGGCATCATGTGTTTGCATCACATAGTAAACCATAAATGTGTGATTGCAGTCTTTCTAAACATTTACAAGTAATGACAGAAGCTCTCATTGAGGGTTTTATTACCATAAGTATTGGCATGATTGTCTTTTGTTATAAATTTCTATAAGCTTCACTTTCCTGGCTTTCTTGTTTATGAGTTGTGCAAATACCCCATTTTTTTCACAATTGGATCTTCAACCTATTCTGTGTATAGGGGATAAGATTCATATACTATGCAGTACAGGGGGTTATCGGGTTACGAACGGGTTCTGTTCCTGAGGAAGTTCTAGAGTAAACAATGTTCATAAGTTGGAACACATGCTATATGCACACCGTACTTACAGAACAATGTTTATAATCCCACTATTTCATAGCCTAAGTCCTTATATACACAAAAAAATAATAATTTAAGAGAAAAGAAGAAATAGAATGACAAAATACAGTAAATGAAAGTGAAAAGTCATCAGGTCAATAAAATGCCGTACCGGTAAATCTAGTTTAACCTAGTTCATAAAGGCGGGAGTTTGTGAGTCGGACGTTCATAAGTCGGGATCCCCTGGAGTTGGATATGAATTCCATATTATGGGTTTGGATAGATTTTCATGTTCTTTAGAATACAGTACAGTACAGTATACAGTACAGGGTGTAATTGGATTCTCAGTGAAATGTATGTTCCTATACTTATTGTTCTTCTCCAAGGGGAGAGACAAGGTCACCATCTTGTACTTTAATTTAATTACATAGTTATGGCATCTTGTGTGTGTTGTTCTTCGTCTTTTCACAAGTTATCTGTACTTGTAGAGGATGAAGACTGTCTCTATGAGTTGAAAATGAGGCAGAGAACTGACAGTGTAAAAAATATATATATTTATTTTGGTGCAACAAACGTTCATACTCTTACGTCCACAAATGACATAAAATTCCACAATGCCTTTCAAGAAAAGTGCTTTCGGGTACAGAACCGTTAATGTGTTCCTACACCCCCGTGGAAACCCGTGTCTTCAAACGGCACCGTCGCAGTAGTAGTGTCATTATTTATGAATGAAAGGGTATCGGTCGTGTAACGGCAGATGTGATTGGTTGATAGGTGTGCCATAGGTCATACAGGTTGGCAGTGTAAAGACATGGGTTACCACAGGAAGGATAAGAACACAACTGTACTTTACCTGATTCTCCAATAGTAAAATGTGTGTTGCAGATTGAATGAATTTGACAAAGTTATGGATGCATACAAATAGATCACTCGACCACATGTGCCACGAGATGGAGTAAAAAAAAAAAAAAAAAAATTGATTGGTTCTGTTTTTTGTCGGGAAAAGGACCTGGTACGGTCGTGGTGAGTGAAGAGGCCAAGTTCGGTAAGAGGAAATACGAATGTTTCCGGACAGTGGGTGGCGGGATTCAGCGTGGTACAGTATAAAAAATTTGTTTCTCGTACCTGTTGAAATGAGAGACAGAGAAGCATTGTTGAACATTATTAAGGAAATAGTACTTCCAGGTACCTATATAGTTACTGACTGATGGAAGGGGAACCTGGACTTGAAGAACCACAGGCAACAGCATTCCACTATCAACCACAGTCAGAACTTTATTGACCCAGATACTGGAGCTCATACACAAAATATTGAGACAGTGGCAACATATCAGAGCACGTATCCCATTCTTTGGTCACTACGGTCAACACACTGTTGGCTACGTCTCCGTTAAGAGACGTTTCTATCAAGGCGACAGATTCCGTTAATATGCCTGGGGGACTGGAGCGTGGAGCACCCCGGTTTGGAAGTTAGGTACGACTAAATAGGTTAGGTTTGTTATGTCAGGTTCCGTGCATTGTTGTTCTCATTTCCTTGTGAAGTATCCAGAAATTTCAGTGCAATTTTCTAAACTCCTTCAGGTGCTAACCGTCTCCTACACCATTATCACAATAACTATACAATGATTAATGGCGGAGAGCTTCACCAATTACAGAACCGGTTAATGTTGACAACTAACCCGCCAAAGCATTATTTGTTTTGATGTTTAATTCTTTACCATATTTTCATCAGTGAGTTCTAATATGATAATCACTCATGTGCAAATACTTCCTATAGTAGCTAATGAAGCACCTAGGAGTGATCTACTTTGTCTTCTCAGCTGTAATGTTGTATCCCAAATGTAGACAGCCAATCATAGTAACGTATTTCAAAACACTTCGCAGCCGAGGGCAGGATCGATACCGATGCTCGGTGTATGTTTATGAGCAGTTCAGTACAGGAGTCTGCTCTCACGTCCACAGAAAACGTAAAATTACACCATTTCATTGTGAGTTCTTTCTGCTTAATATACAAGGGAGTCCAGGGGTGGAGCCCCACGGCTAGGAAGTTAGGTAGGTAGGTGTCTTGGTTAGGTTGGTGAGGTCTTCCAACAACACTTGTTTTTATTATCAACTAAGGTTAAGTTTAATTTAGAAATAACCATTTTTTAACACATTTGCACAAGGTACGACAGTTTTGACTGTCCACTATATAACACGGTGAACTTGCGGCATTTAAAAAAAATTTTCTTTGAAACATCGGTCGCAGGTCCCGCGTTAATAATTACCGTGGAAATTATCAGATTTCAATTATGAAAACAAAGGAAGGTTAAGTTAGGTCAGGTTGATATGCTTACGTTATATTAGGTTATGTGTGATGATCACCTCCCCAACAGTCCATTAATATGAAGATAACGCTTCGTATCGCGCAAGGTCCTTTTCTGCGTTTCAGTTGTCGCCGCGAAATATTCTAGAGCGAGACTCACACAGCTCTCAAGAACTGGATCTTCACAAAAATTTCTCGTCACAGAACAGATTAAACTGACTACATCAACAATTGCTAAAGGCAGTAACACCCTCTTTGTTACAGTAAAATGGCTGACCTCCTGAAGTGTTTAATTTTTATGGATAGGACACTTAACCTAATATAAAATAGCTCTTACTACTGTTAAGAATATGGTGATGCTGACATAACACACAGAAAATATTTCCTTTAGTTATATTATATAGTAAATTTAACAAAGACTGTCCATTAACTGTCAATATTGAAAATTAAAAAACCTATCTTTTTGCTATAATCCGATGTAAAAGTAAATAACAATCAAACTTAACTAGATTTTACACCAACCTACTTTACTTAGGTAGATAACGAGAAGGTTGTTAATAATAGAAGGTTGTTAAGGCCACACTACCGTCAGTTAACACCACACTCGCTTGTTGTTTTGTTGCCACTAACTCCAAAAACCAATTACCATTTTATCTTCATTTTCGGTAAGTTATAATTCAAGATATAAAGTAAGTTTGGTTATTTTGATCCTCGTGTCATATACTATAGACAAAAAGTATGAGAAATAACATTAAATTCTTCTAATTCTCATAATGGTGACAGTTAGCAGCACACGCTAATAATGTTCCTTTTATATATATTTAAACCTTATCTTATCATTTAATTTTGGACATTGATTAATAATGACGTAACAACTTCTAACGGGTGTTGAATATAATAAAATCAAAACTATTACTATTTCTTTTATAATTCATTCAATAATATCAACCATATGGCAACATTTCTGCAGGATTATATTTTTTCTTTACCTAAATTCCTATAAACTAATGGTATATGTCTGAAATTTCCGGGATAAAGAGAAAATAAATAAAAATTTTTACATCACACGGTACTGGACATAATATATAATGGTCTAAATTAACAGAAGAAGTTATAGTGAGTGTTAGCGGTGGTGAGGTGTGGCCATCATGGACCCACGAGAACCCTTGGCTGGTGACACAATAACTCCTTAACTCTTGGTCGGTACTGTTGTTAACTTAAATACTTTATATTCTTAACATTTTGTATTCTTGGTCATGTGCTCTAATATGTTTATTTTAATTAAGAGAGGCTCTACTGAATTACAGCAGGAATGAAATACTGTATCAACAATTTACTCAAGCCTTGCAGTACTAGTGGTTCCTTACTGCTGATGGAATACACACATCAGAGTAATTTTTTGCTTAAATTTACATTTGTTACCACTTAACCTCACCCCATAACTGGGGGAGCTCTGTCCCTTGAAACCCCGGCCTGTTATACGTTGTTTGGGCTAATATTTACGACTAACCCGCTTACGCGCTGTTTGATTTGATGTTTATATTTTTAATATATTCTTATCAGTGAGTTCTGATATGATAATTATTTGGGAGGGAAATTGCTTCCTTTGGTAGATAATTAGGTGACTAGGCACGCACTACTTTGTGGTGATGTAGCAGACACAGCCAATCATCTCCGATCAATGCCACAGACCGGGCGGCTGATCTCGCGTCCACAAAAAATTCAGAATTAAACCATAACCGTAAATTCTTTGTTTAATAAGCCTGGGGGTCCAGGGAGCAGAGCCTCTTGGCTGGGAAATAAGGTAAGGTTAGGTACGTTTGTTTGGTTAAGTTGGTGAGGTTTTCTAACACATCATTTGTCATATGTTTTCTTATCAACTAAGGTTCGGTTACTTAAAAATTATAAATAACCATTTCTTAACACATTTGTACAAACTACGACAGTTGTCCACTGTAAAACACAGTGAAATTATGGCGTTTTTAAAATCGTGATCTATGAGAAATTGGTGGTGGGTCAGTCAACAATAATTACCTTAAATTTAATAAAAAAAATTCTGTTTCTCCATCATAAATCACCTGTAGTGGGCACAGTGTAAAGGATGAGGGAAATTGCTGGGTGAAACACGGTTAAAAACTGATATGACAATAAAGTGATGTCTTCATGTGAGGAAATTATTTACCTTAAATATTCCTCTGAAAAATCTGCTGTTGGCGTATGTTCTCATCTGCTCTTTGTTTCCGTGCAACAAGCGACCCGCTCAGTATGAGTGTACTCTCTCGTCCACTAAAAAAGTTAAAATTACACCATGCTGCTTCAAGAGAGTTGCTTTTATTGATACCTCATATCAAAGTAAGTACTGTACTTAAGGTTTAATGTGGCGGGGGTCCGCCCTCCGGCTAGGAAGTTAGGTAGGTTTCTTGGCTGGTTAGGTCAGGTTCTACATATTAGGTTCTGTGCATTGTTGTAGCATATTTATTACTTGCTATCATCCAAAGAACATCTGTGAAAAAATATGACCCAAGTCAAACAATGTGTTCTTGTGTTAGCAATCTGCTCCAGGATTACTGGCAATATTTTTTTAGATTTGGTTGTTGGCAGTAAATGTAATACTGTACTGTACTGTAATGTAATAGTATAATATTTTTTTAATTATTTGGTTTTTTTTTGCCCATTCTCCTCTTCTGATACAAGAACGTTTTTCTGGTGTATGTTGGTGTTTAAGTCCAAAATGACCATTTGTTGTGGTAAATGTTTTGGGTTTTTTTAGAAAGTTAATATAACGTTACCTGACTTCATAGTTGGGGCGGGTCCCCCCCCCCTCAACATATTAAACAAAAAGCATTTACTCTAATATCTGGTACCAATAAAAGCAACTTTGTTGAAGCGTCACGGTGTAATTTTACGCTTTTTGTGGATGTGAGAGTATGCTCTGACAGAGTGGGTCGGTTGTAAACATAGTTGCACCTCGTGTAATAGGATGGGCTGCCCAAGGGCCACCCAGGAGTGAATTTGTTTAAGGTGTAGAAGCTGTCGCCAACACAATAACCACACCCTGAGTTAACAAGTTGCATGACCCAATGTCAAGGAATAGTCCGAGAAGACCGTACAACTCGCCAACTGCACTGGCTAACCATTACCCCGGAACACGATCCGCAAATCAATTAACATCCAGGTCCCCAATTACTGCTGGGTAGACAGAGGCAAATGGCTTAACCCTTTGACCGCGCAAAGCGACTTTAGTCGCCTGACAAAACGAAACATTTCACCGCACAAAGCGACTTTACTCCACGACCACAGGGGAAAATTCTGAATTTCCCGCGCGCGGCTAAGATCGTCCTGGGGTTAAAAATGCACCCTGTCTGTGCTGCCATCTGGTATCCACTAGGCAAAACATATCCCAAGGACGCATTAGCTGACGCAACCACATGACTCACAGATTTCCAGATCCAGCGTAGCGTCATATATTTGTTCATCAACCACATAAATAAGTTATTTTTTATTCTTTTATTATGGTGATAGGCAGTGTAAGTGTTTCAAGCATGTGAATATATATAATAGACCGATATAGATAAGCAAATAGTGGTGGTTATATGTAAAAATATGATCGCTATTTTTTCGTCAGTTTGTCGGTATAAAGATTTGCCAGAAAATTGTTTCAGCGGCATATATCTGTTCATAATCCACATAAAGAAGGTAATTTTTAATCTGTTATTATGGTGATAGGCAGTGTAAGTGTTTCAAGCATGAGAATATATATAAAAGATTGATATAGATAAGCAAATAGTGGTGGTTATATCTCATAATATGATCGCTGTTTTTCCGTCTGTTTGCCTGTATAAAGATTTGCTATAATATTGTTTCTGCATAACCCAGGCATTTTTGGTATAGTCCAGTGTTAAAATATGAATAAAGACCGTGTTATATATATTTGATTGAAATAAAATATTTTTGCATGTCTGTTTAGTTATTTCACCAACAATGTTTCCAGGTGAGGTACCAATATTGCACATAAAACTGGGTTATAATTTCCATGAAACATCACTTTACATTAATTATTACCATAGTTTTGGGTCATGATCTCTCATTCTGGGGGCAATTTTGGCAACATCTGAGTTCCTCAAACAACTTTACCTGAAGAAAACCTGAGATATATGTTTTTTTTTTTTACCTTTTTTCCGTAAAAACATGATTTTTCACTAGATAACAACATTTCTAAGGAATATAAATGCCATATATGGAAAGACCAAGTTTTGTTCATTATAGAAAAGCATTAAAAAAGCTCAAAACAGCATTTTCATTTTTTGGTGACTTAATGACACTTTCCGGGAACAACCTTGAAATCGGACGGCGCGTTCAAACGGTTAAAGAAACTTGCCCATAGTTTCACCCTGCCCGGGGATTGAACCCGGGTCCGCTCGCTTGCGAGGCGAGCATGCTGACCATATCCCCACAGGTCGCCGTTGTAAACATACAGGGCAGACGACAACACGCACTGGCAACGGCAGATACTATCTACAGGTAACCTAATGTTTGAGGGTAAATATATTAAAAATTCATCTCTTTCACAAGAAAGGTTCCTATTGACCCTAAGGAATGTAGCTTCAGTGTTCTTTTTTCCCGTGCTCGACCACCAGCTCTGTGTAGTATCCATTGTGTTTAAAGTGACAGTAATGTGGATGACAATTGAACTAAACAATTTAAAACTTATTAGTGAGGTGACCGTCTCCTTGACAACTAATTTCTTTTAAATATACTGTTCCAAGATCACTTGTTTATTCCCCTAGATGATTAGCCTCTTCACGACAGGATGCCATTTTAAATATTTTATATGGCTAATGCCAGATGATTTTATTCAGCACACTGTTCCCTCATCTAAGGGGTTAATGAATTACAATACAGTATCTCCACTTATTCCTTCATTATGGGATGCTTGTAATTTCATGCATGTTAATTACTGTATAAGATTACCTGGATTAGGTAATGTTAGTGTCAGGATGGTTAATTTAAAGGTGAAATAAGTTGGATCTAATCTTTTGGCAATCTAAATACCCAAATCTGCTGTGCTATATTAGTTCCTGCGCTGGTTTGTTCCTAAAAACCTGAGTGATGTGCATAATTGTGATACAAAAGAGTAATTTTGATAGTTCAGTACTGTACTTGGATTGATTTTTTAAGCAGGGACATTTTATATTTAAAAAAAAATGTTTAATACTGTCTAATTTCAGTGACACTTTCAGCTGGCTGGTGAGTCTGCAGACTGTGTTGGTGGAACTGAATCATATTTTTCTCATATGTTAGGTATGTTATTCGATATATGAATACTGTACAGTACAGGTATTCCCTTAATGATTGGTTTTCAAGGAAAATAACCCATTCATATGGTGAGGGACACCTGTACTGTGCCACCAGGCCTAATTATAGTATGATATAACACATGTTTGTTTGATGGTTTGGAGTGAGGCAACAGAGTGGATACTGTATAGTGCTTACCTCCCATCACTTAGGTGGAAGTGGACACTGTACTTAATAATGTTTCCTCTAAACTGAGTTCCTACACATGATTTTTCTAGCCATGCATATCAACAACAATGTGACATCACTTTTTCAGATCAAATAATCATCTTAAGCAACATACCCAGTATTTTATTTTTTTTTATCTTTTGTACTTTCACATACTGTATATGGTAACTTTAAAGCATATCCATTATACTGTATTGTACTGTACTGCATAATTTCATAATTTTTTGTTTCTGTGGGTGGTGCACATCACCTTTATAGAACCTTGAGACCAAATTATACAAGTTGAGGAACTGAAAGTGGTTGAGTGGAGTGTCAGCCACACTGCCTCCTTACATATTGAAGGCTTAGTATACAGTGCACTATATCCATACTGGCTCTAACAGGCAATTTTGCCTTTTGAACCCTGTTTCCTTCCTTAATGTACAATATGGGGAAATTTAAGAAATAATAATTTTCAAAGGAAAATAACTTGTTACATGCATGTAAGGCCACTTTGATAGTAGACTGCCATCATGTTCCATGAAGACAGAAGTACAGTGATCCCTCGGTTCACGAACGCCTCGGTTAACGAAATTTCGGTTAACGAATTACCTTCCATAAGATTCTTCACTTCGGTTAACGAAAAAATTTTAGTTAACAAATTCCTTACAAATTTTTCCCAACATGTTTTCACCTGCTTTTGCCTGCTCACCAGCTGTAGTATTAGTCTGCCAATACAGTAATCGGTTTTAGGGCTTAAATTCGTAACCATTTGAGTAAATATCAAGTCTTATATTAAAGTTTTTAGTCATTTTAGCAATTATTTAACATAATTGTAGTACAGGGAACTAGTTTTTAGCGCGCCAAACAGCCACTTGACTCACCCAGAATGGCGTCAGTGTGTGTCCCTGCTCAGTGGAGGAAGCTTCTTGCTTGAGACTCTCTTGAACATAAACTATTTTTACATTTTTACAGTACAATTATTGGTCATTCTGAAGTTTATTTTACATATTGACAATATATAATGCAGTGCAGTGTTGATTTAAAGAAAATAATCTTGAATTACACCAAGTTAACTAAAATTTTATGGGTGAAATGGCGGCATGGGGGTGACTTCTCTTCCACTCCAATGCCTTCTCTTCTCCCTTCTCCTCCACCCCCATTCTAATTCCCATCATCATCATCAACCAGGAGCCTTCTACATGCACACCTCAAAGTAAGTGTACTTTACTGCATTTATTTTTAGTTTGTATGTAATTTTTGGTGAGCTGGAACCAATTGCTTAAAATCCCATTGAAGCAATGGTTTCGGTTAAAAAAAATTTCGGTTAACGAATGACCTTCTGGAACGAATTGTGTTCGTTAACCGAGGGACCACTGTACCTTGTTAGAAAAAAGGGGCGGTGGACCCAAGACTTAACCAGTTGAGTAAGGAGTCACCTCTGCTGTATAAAATGCATAAAATCATCTGACATTAGCCAAATAAAATATTAAAAGTGGGGTCCCTGTAATGAAGGGGTAAAGGCTGTGAGTGGATCCTGTGGGGGGGGGGGGGCTAAACAATTCATGTACAGTAATTTACTTTTTATCTTTAGCACTCCAGGTGTTATTCTCATACATATGGGTATTTTCAAAATTCTTAATTTGTTTAAGCCTACCTTTAATATCAGTGTCCTCATTTATTTTATACTGAACAGTGCAGTACAGTACTAGCAAAATTACCCTTAGGATCCACGTAATACTGTATGTGTGTGATAAGTTTCAGGTCTCTAACTGCTTCTGTTTTGGAGCTATGGCTGGAATGGACAGACAGACATACGGGGGTCAATGTAGTCCTGTCAAATTAGCACGAAAACCAGCAAATAGCGGAAAAAAGTTTACATTTTGCACACGTACTCCTGAAGGCGAGGCAAATAAAGATCAAAGGAGTTCCCCTCTGTCTGACTGCAGCAACCCCCCTTTTGGGGGGCCTTTTTACTACATTTTCCCTATTGTTTGGAAAACGGTGCATTGGATGAAAAAAGTTTATACAGGTATATATAAAGAAAATATTGTAAATAAAATTCTGCACAAGATTGTCTATATGCATTTTTTCCCCCAGGAGTTATAGTATGTGCGTAAACAAGACCGGAAGTGTAAGGTTAGTTTGAGCGTAGATCAAGATATTTCCGTCTCGTGCTCAGTTTCCCATCAATGACTCTCAAACGACTAGTTTCTCATTAAAAATGCACATAAATGGAATTGTTGAGTGAGAAGTTCTCTATTTGGGCAGATGAAAGACAATTTTGTATGAAGTTATAAATGTTTTCTATAGTCCACTTTTCTTTTTTCAGAGGTGAATGAAACTCCAGTTATTTAGTATGGCATCAACAAGTAATTGTTTTTGTTGCAAGAGGAGTTTGAATGAGGGCGAAACTGTGAATGTGAAGGATGGCATCCACAACTTGAGATGTGTAAGTCATATCCGAAAAGGCAGTGATTTTGAGATGTTAAAGAAAGTGGACACCATTGAAATGCATAAAGTTTGCAGATGTGAGTACATTAAGGAGAAAAATATAGCCAGATATTTATAAAAAACAGAAGCCTTAAAACAAAGAGAGTGTACTTTGTGGTCAGAAGAAGAATTTGATTTAAAAAACAATTGTTTGTTCTGTGGTGAAAAATGTGATATTGCTGCAGAAAGGAAAAAACCTGTGGATAAACGCGAAGTTATGTGGGAAGTTCGTACTCTGACCATGAAAACAAACAACTGAAGGATGCTGAGCAAAGGAAAGACGAATGGAGCGAGAAAGTATCGAGACGAGTTAACAGCGTCAAGTGCCTTGTAGCAGAAGAAGCGTGTTATCATGGAAAATTTTACTAAAAATTTGCATGCAACCGACCATCAACTCTAAAACGAGGACAGGCACAGGATGAACACATGATGGCTCAATTTTTCTATGTTTGCACTTAGACAACTGGTCAGTGGATAAACCAGGGCATAATTATATTTATTAAGCTCTGATAAATATGCTTCAATATTATTTACTTACTTTTATCCTCTTCATCACTGATCGGCTCGTTAGGAGATCGGTCACCTCTCTGTCACACACTATTGGCAAGTATTAGTCATGGACTGGCTGTCTGTTATGCACTGTTGGCAGGTACTGGGCATGCACCGACTCCTGAATGTACCTGAACCTGCTCCAGTGTTGGTCAAGTCTGGTCTTGAAGGAAATCACACTCGGTGCCGTCACAACACTTTCTGGCAGATTGTTCCAAGAGTTCACAACTCTCACTCCGAATAAAGTTTGCCCTCACAGTTTCCTGGACTTGCAGCTTCTTCAATCTTGAGCTGTGACCACTTGTGGGGCGAGCGACCGCCAGCTCCAAGTAAGGACACTCGACTGAGTAGTGCCCCCTGAGATGCTTATACACCTCAATTAGGTCGTCCCTTGCCCATCTGTAATACAGGGTATAAGCTAGGCAAGTTCAGGCGCTCCAATCTATCAGGTTAGTTGGGGTGACAATGCTCCAGATGGGGAAGCACTTCACTCTTGAAGTTCGTTACGAGGGACAGACCCTCTAGATATCTGAACGACCTTCTTATAAGACCCAATAATTTATTTGCCTGATTTACCTTCTTCTCACAGTGGCCCGAGAACTTCAGCTCATTGTCAACATACACACCAAGGTCTGTCTCACATTTGGTCTCAAATACAGGCTGTCCCCGACTTACGACGGGGTTAGGGACCCAATTCCAGGTCGTAAGTCGAATTGGTCGGAAGTCAAAATAATTTCTCAATTTTGCCTTTGGAAAGGTTCACATTTTTTTTAAATACTGTACTGTTAACTAGTAAAGTAATAAAACCAAATGCAGTTTTTAGCAGCTGTTAATTGACAACACATTACTTCCACAGATTGACAACACAGTATATGGTATCATGGCATTATAGGTACTGTATGTTTATTAAACAAATCACATTTTATTAAATACCTTAACTTAGAGTAATGAAACAAAGTTTGACTGCCCTGGCAACGACCACAATCTTTTCTCACATTTCCATTTCCACCACAACTTGGTGTCGAGAGTGGCATACTGTACCTGGTGTTAGTGCAGTACTGTATACATGAACTTATTGTGGCAAATTTGTTAACCACATTTATTACTATCAGTAAAATCCGTGGCAGTAGGAGTAAATAATAAAATAATATTTACGGTTACAATTTCATAATGATCTAACACTAGGTATACATGGTTCCTCTATAATCTCGACATAATGATGGTCCTGCTTGAGTTGGCCAGCCAGGCAAGCTGCCAGTTGCCTTATCAATGACATATTTTTTACACACTGGAATTGTCAAAGGTACCGGCTTACTGCACCTCAGTGACTTGGTGAGGGAGGAGGTCCTCGAGTCATTGAGTGATGGTCAAATTCAACCTGTAGTGACTATCAGGTTAGAAAGTGACTGTTTTGGGAAAGTCAAGAATCAAAATTTTATAAAAATGTCAGTTAGAGATACTATTAGGAACTATCACTCATTTCCATTGCGTCCAAAATTATAAGGGTGTATGAGTGTAACATTGCCATAGAGTGGACCTAATTAATGTAAAAAATGCAGTGATATATGAACATTTTAGTAGTAAACAAAGTTTGAACTCCAAAATCGACAAATTTATACCTAAATCCAAACCCAGTGCCTCCAGGAATACAAGGAGACCGTTACACGTGAACCCTGTGGCTGTCAGGAACGTTAAAGAGGAAAACTCAGGATTTCGAGATGTGGGCGAGGACAAATGATAAGCAGCAGAAGGAGGATGTATGCCAGATCCAGGAACCAAGCAAAGTCAGAGTGTAGAAGGGCTGAAAAGAGTTCCAGAGGCAGATTGCTAGTGAGGTCAAGTCAAACCCAAAGGCTTTTTACTGCTATACAAAGATGAAATTAATTGCAGAAGTAGGCATATCGGACCTGAGGCTCGAAGATGGTAGTTCTGCAGATTCTGACCAGGATAAGGCAAAGGCGTTGAAAAAAAATTTCACCAGTGTTCATTTAATGACCACGGTCATACATGTTTGTTAATGTAAAATCAGATGATTCATATTCCACTTAGTAGCCCATAATACATGTAGCTTTGCCTTTATTGTTGAGTTACCCATCTGAGGCACCCATACTCTCCCCATTTCAGGATGCCTGAGGCCTCCGTTTTCTCTCAATCTCCGAAAGACTGATATTTCTGAATACCTCATGCCGAGTCCGGAGATTTGAAATTGAGAGAGAACACAGTAATATTATATTGTATTAGATATGTCTTATTACAGATGAAAAATTCAAGATCCCTTGTGAGTGATGTTGAAAACTTCAACTGTACTTATTATTAGTCAAACTTGTCAATAAGTAAGTGTTGAGTCTACCAGTGAGAGTGATGAAGCACTAATAATGCCCTTGGGGGATGCCATGAGTTGCCAACTGATACTGAAGTTAGATCATTTTGATTCCTTATCATCAGAGAATCTGTTTGTATTGAAAGTATTGTCAATTTTATAGGTAGAAAGTCATTAATCTTCTGGAAAGAATATGTCTGACTCCCTTATCTCCAGGATCTAACGACAAAATATCAGTGGGCTCTTGTCTGTATTTTTGCTGACTCGGAAGAAAGACATTACCAGTTCGTGTGTTTAACATCCATTTCACTTTTGACTGGCAAGCTCAACCTCTGACTTGATTGTAAAAATAGATGTAAGAAATTCACCTGATCCACGACACTGAGTTTCATAGCCAAATGTACAGCAACTGATTTAAATGAAAATTATGTTATTGCCCGTTTGGCATGCCTGAGTTGCCAGTCAGCCCGTATATAAACGCGTGTGCGAGGGACCGCGTCACTTCTTTGACGTGTCACTCCTCGCATCTCTCGGGTATGTCTCACTTCTGCCGTATTAAGTCAGTTTAACTCGGTTGAAGTTTGTGAATATCAGTGATCATTTTTTAACAGTGAAATTATCATGTGCCAAGTCAAGAATTAACATAACGTAAATATCGTCTGTGATGGTGCTAGACGTGTGATTGTTTGTGAACAAGTTTAGACTTTTAAAGACTTCTTCGATGAGTCCCTCCTCATATCTCTCAGACACAGAGTGGGTGTTAGCTGAATAACAGCAGCTACTGGTGATCGGTAGCTGCATACCAGCTGGACGTCCCAGGCAGGATGTCTTTAATTCAGCACGATTAAAATTGGGGAGTAGAGCACCCTGGGGACCACACTGCAACGAGTCTACCCCGAAGCTACTAGCGAACGAGCTTCAGCTGTTTGTGTAGTAAACACACACCCGAGCCAGCGGTGTCAGCCAGTGTAACCAAGTCTTGTATTAATCACAGTTCTATGTGAATGTAATGTTCTTGTACAGTCTCTCCTCGACTTATGACGGGGTTCCGTCCCGACGACCAGGTCGTAAGTCGAATTGGTCCTCTGTCGAAAAGGCGAAAATAATATATAGAAATTCTAAAATGGGTGTCTCTTTATCTTCTCAGCACCACGAGAACCCTCACTTTTACGCTTGCCAGCCATTTTAAAGGGAATTACAAACAAAATTTTTGTCAGTACACAGCGCGATCACTAACATCGGGACTCGAAAATACGTAATGTGAAAAATATTTTATTCGACCATGACTGTCGTATGTCCGGATGGTCGTAAGTCGAGGAGAGACCGTATATGAATGGGGATAATTAGTAGAAATATAGTTATCCCAAGTTGAGATTGAAATCACAAATATGGATATTACCAGTTTTAAGTTTAGTGTTTGTTGTATTATCAATGTCTACCCACAAATTGAGATCTGGTTACATGTTCCTTGTTGTTCATTAATATCGGTGGTATTGTCAAATGTGTAAAAATGCTATCTTTAGTGTCCAACAAATAGTAAAACAGTTGTTGAGTGTCTACCATACTACCTGGGTGGTGGCAGTCTACCCTTCTGAGTACAATAGTTATTTTAATAGGTGGTGTTTAGGAATATGGTTCTCCCAGGTTAATCCATTGTAAAGAATATAACTAAGCCATGAGAAATATTGAGAGTAAGATGAATGATAAGAAACAGTAATGATATTAAACCAATAATTAAGATATAAAAAGAAAAATAAAGAATATTGAAATAAATAATTAAATAATGACACTGAAAGAAAGACCAATAAGTAAGAAAAGTAAAAGATAGAAAGTGAAGTAATGCGCACACTGAAATAAAGAGAGAGAAATATATTAACTTAGAAAATATAAGTAAAGAAAGTGATGTAGAAATAATATAACAGAAGGTACTAGATGTTTGGACTCAAATTCTAGAACAAGGCAGAAATATCAACAATATACAGTATACCTGGATTTTTGCCAATGCTTTCGACAGTGTGCCCCATGAAAGTCTGAGAATTAAACTGGAAGGGAACAGGATTCAGGGAAGTATCTTAGCGTGGATCAGAGACTTTCTGCATGACGGCAATTGGTGCGTGGTGATAAATGGTACGAAATCGTCATGTGTACCTGTGACTAGCGGGGTACCGTAGGGCAGTGTATTGGGCCCATTGTTGTTTGTCTGTTTCGTTAATGACATGCCAGAAGCTATACACTACTCCATACAAATGTTTGTAGACGATGCCAAGTTTTTATGGAAATTAAGAACCAAACAGACTGTGAAGAGTTGCAGAAAGATCTCCATGAGTTTCACGAATGGTCGAGGAAATGGCTGCTAAAATTCAATGTCACAAAGTGCAAAAGGATGCACCTGAGAGACACTAATAGTAAGGAGGCGTATCACATGTCCCAACAGGACGAAGAGACTGCATTAATTGAGACCGAATGAGAAAAGGACCTGGGCGTGTATGTCGACAATGAACTTAAGTTCTTGGGCCATTGTGAGAAGGTGAATAAGGCACTGAAACTAGTAGGTCTTATGAGAAGGTCATTTAGATATCTGGATGGTCCGTCACTCGTCACGATCTTCAAGAGTGAGATGTTTCCACTCCAAGTCCCTGTGGTATGCTGGAGACTGTCAATTAATAGAAAATGTCCAAAGGAGGGTCACCAAGCTGATGCCTGCTCTATGGAACCTTCGTTACCCAGAGAGATTGGAGTGCCTGCAACTACCTAGCTTACACTACAGACGGGCGAGGGGCGACCTAATCGAAGTGTATAAACATCTCGGAGGGCACTATGTACTCGGTTAAATGTACAAACCTGGATCTGGCTTATTGTTATGGAAGGTGAAGACGTTTTTGTTCTGCCAGACGATACTGGGCCAAGTGGGCCTGTTGACAGTGTTGAGGAGCCTGCAGTGGCTGTGAGTGAGGCCGTTGAGGCGGAGGCCGCTCAGGCTGAGGGCCAGGCCCAGGAGTCTCAGAGCCCGTGGCCCCACCTGAATGACTACTTTGTCCTTAAGTCAAGGGATAAGAGGAATGCCAACATCTTGTACTTCCAGTGCTTCATGTGCCAGCCCAAGGAGACCACCATCAAGGGACAGGCGACAAGCCTCTACAACTTGAAGTCGCATGTCAAGAGGAAACACCCAGCGCATGCCATCCAGTTTGAGGAGAGGATCAAGGCTGGCTCTTCCCGTGGGAAACACAGGCAGTCTTCTGGTAGCGGTGCCAGTAGCAAGAGCAGCAGCCAGTCGTCGCGGCCACCTGCAAAGAAACCACGCCAGCCCACCATTGGCGAGGTGTTTGGCGAATCAGCTGCTGGCACTGGCGTCCGTCAGTCTGTGGTGGACAAAAGGATTGTGGACCTGTTTGTCTGCAACATGCTACCGCTGCACGTAGTGGAGTCCCCAACCTTTGTCAGCCTGATCAAGACGCTGAACCCCAGCAAGACGTCGATGTCCCGCCGCACCCTGGGCAAGAAGATCTTGGGCAGCCATAAACAGCTGGAGGAGTATCTTATAAGGTATTTATAAATTATACAGGTTTATTAAATTATTATGGCATATTTCATATTTTTTTCATGTTTTCATACTCTTTGTGGGAGGCATTGCAAGTTATGACACATTTAGAAGTACAGTAGAAGAGTTTGTTGTGGCAGTTTGTATTGTTATATAAGTTTATAACTTCCCTTGAAATTAATTCTTTGTATATTTTCATACATTTTTTTTATTTTAATTATTTATACAATGCTAAAGTTGCAATGATTATTATTGTAAAATTCATTTTTTTTACTGTGATTCAGAGATTCTGTGTTGCTGTTTTTTTTTTTGTTACGAGGTTAAAATTGTACAGTACAAGCTTATTGCATTATTATATGGCGTATTTCATATTTTTCGTGGGAGGCATTGCAAGTTATGACACCTTTAGAAGTACAATAGAAGTTTGTTGTGGCAGTTTGTAATGTTATATAACTTCCCTTGAAATGAATTGTGTACAGTATTTTGATATTTTCATATAATTTGTTTATTTATATAATGCTAAAGTTGCAATGGTTATTACTGTAGAAGTCATTTTTTTTTACTGTGATTCTGTATTGTTGTGTTTTTTTTCTTTTTTTTATTGTTACGAGGTTAAAATTATACAGTACAAGTTAATAAATTATTATTATTGCGTACCGTATTTCATATTTTTTCCATATTTTTCGTGGGAGGTATTGCAAGTTATGTCACGTTTAGAAGTACAGTCCCTTTCCATTGGCCTACAAAATGACTCGCATAGTGAGTGTGAATTAGTTTATCTGATGGTGTTTGGCGTGTTTGCTTCCCTCATTGGCCTGACATAGATATGTCTCTTTACAATTTAAAATGTTTAATTATAGATTGCTCAAGGATGTTCCCTGGGTGGCGACCACCGCGGACTGCTGGTCGGCCCACAACAAGTCCTACCTGGGGATGACGGCACAGTGGCTGGACCCCAAGACCCGCAAGAGACAGCACGCCGTCCTAGCCTGCTCTCGGATTAGAGGGCATCACACTTTTGATGTTCTCTCCGAGGCCATGGTGGACACCCATTACAAGTTCCACCTGCAGGACAAGGTGACCAGGACCACGACGGACAACGGCAGCAACTTCGTCGAGGTGTTTGTGCAGTTTGGCACTGAAGCCGAACTCTTGCCGGACATTCCCAAGCCTGCTGCCGATCCAGACGTGGAGGGCGTCGAGAATGTGGACCTGGACGCGGATCCTGAGGCTGGTGGTGTGGACGAAGTTGAGTACATCTCTGTCGATTCCGCCCTTGACGAGTCCAGCGGCCTGGGCCTCGACCTGCCAGTGCACATGAGGTGCGCAGCCCACACTTTCAACTTGATAGCCAGCGTGGATGCTGACAAGGCTCTTGACAGTGCTTCGTTCAAGTCGGCCTACAGGAAGGCTATGTCCAAGGCACAGGCGCTGTGGAACCTGCAGAGCCGCAGCACAGTGGCGGCAGACAGCATTCTGGACGCGTTGAAGAGGAGGTTGGTGGTCCCCAACATTACCAGATGGAAGTCGACCTATGACTCTGTTGTTGTCCTCAACAATCTGCTGGAGAAGAAGAGGGGAGCTATCCACAGGGTGATGACGCAGCTGAAGCTGCAGACCTTCACTGATTCTGAGGTCGACTTCCTGACGGAGTACGCCCAGGTGATGTCCAATGTTGCCAAGGCCTTGGATAAGATCCAGGGGGAGGACCAGGCCTATCTAGGGAGCCTTCTGCCAACTATAGCGGCTACCGTCATGAAGTTGAAGGAGGCCAAGTCCAAACGTCTCCTATACTGCAGTCCTCTGGTAGACGCGATACTGGCAGGCATCACGAAAAGGTTTGGGCTCCTCCTAGAAGACCAGGAGTGCCAGCTGGCTGCTGCCTTCCACCCCAAGTTTCGCCTGTTCTGGCTGGAGCAGTATAATAACAACCAGCTCACCAGGGTAAAGAACGCCATGGAGACCGTCGTGGAGAGAGCCCTGATGGAGACCAGTGAGGAAGGCAGCAGCACCACCAGCAATGAGGATGAGGAAGATGACTTCTTCAGCAGCATCATTCAGTCCCAGGAGAGCAGGAGCCACAGGTCACTGAAGTCCAAGGCACAGAACTTGGTGAAGACCTGGCTGGAGGCTGGCTCGAAGGAGGTCCTGACTGACGTCGCCTTCTTGGGTGAGCAGGTCTTGATCGACCTGTTCAACAAGTATAACACAGCCATTCCATCCAGTGCTGCAGTTGAGTGCCTATTCTCTATAGGCAAAGATGTCTTGAGGGCCAAGAGAGCCACCCTGTCAGATGGCAACTTTGAGAGGCTGATGTTTATGAAGGGCAACCAGCATCACGTCGAGGCGATGGAGAAGACCCAGCCACTGCAGCTGGAGTGAATGGAATTATTCGATTATTAAAGTTTAATATATATTTTTTTTTTTACAGTAAGTAAAGACTGTCAGTGTATGTTGAAAGACTCATAGAATGTAATTGTAAACTAATGTATAATTTAATTTCTCATTTATTTGTTAATTTAATATTTTTTTGTCACTATATTTGATAGATAATGAAAAATAATATTTAGTCTAAATTAGTTTGGATATGCTTAATTAAGCTGGGTGTTTGAAACAGTTAGCATCTCGCATGAAACAAAGATCAACCATTGCAATAAACATAATGACTAACTCTCCCCACAAAAAGAACAAAACACTACACAGTAATTTAAAATTACTGTACTTAGATTCCGAAAGATCTGAGGCACAAAAGAAAACTAGTGTCGTTTTACTTAATATATTTTTAGGTTATAGTTATTTTTGTTCTTATGAATAAATCTGAGTGAAATGACAGAGTTTTGATAACTAAAAATAAATAAGACTTGGAGATTTTAAAGCAAGATATTTACAAGGTCAACCTCATAGTATTTGGTCAGTCTCCAGAAAACCATTTTATTTAAAACTAGTTGTGAGAAGTTTGAATCATAGACCACGTTCTTTATAGACTTTATTCTTACTGTGTCAGCTGGTGACTGGCAACCCGGCGCTGCTACAGACAAGCTCCCACCTCAACACATGGGAAAACATATCGTTCGATGGTACTCCATTTCACAATCTTACATCTCCCCACCAAGTTAAAAGGAAATGACAATGCACATTTGAACTAACAAAAGGAAAACGATGCATTCATAAAAAAAAGTAATGCAAGAAAAACCAGTCAAAGAAAGAAAAACAAAACAACAACAAAAAAACCTCTAAACTAATTTTATATCACTTACACTACACCCCGTAGTCCGCCAACCATCCCGGGGCCCTGTGGCCTCTCCTGGGCCTGGCCATGCTCGACTGGGGAGGGGCCGGGGGTGCAAGCGAGGGGGCGGGTACAGAGGGCACCGAAGATGGGGGGCCAGGAGGCATAGCTTGGTGCACGTGACACTGCAGCATACAGTCCACGTGAGTACTGCGTAACTGAGCGCGTGTCCACCACCATGTTCCATCGCGCCTGACGAATCAAGTAGCTCACAAGTAATTTCTCAGTCTTGAGAAGCACTTGGTTGTGGCAGTACTTGATCACAGAAGCACTTTGTCATGTTCATGTGCTCCTTTATCTTGGCTGCATCCTTCTTAATTGTCCTCATCGTAGACTCGTTAACATCATGCTGGCTCGCAAGATCAACCTGTCTTGTTCCTTTCTCCAACTCTTGGATGATCTAGTATTTAATTTCGTAGCTTAAGGAACGTCGTATCTTCTTTGGCATAGGGCGGCTGGGTCCAGGTAATGCAAGGTTTCTTTGTGGTGGTGGTGGTGGTCCGGTGGAAGCCATTCTTATGGAACAATGGATACTGATATACACGGTGTAGCCGGGAGGGGTGTAACCGACGCGGGTAGGTCAAGGGGCTTGAACGCTCCTGCGGCGGGGCACGTCATAGTACATTAAACCAATCACAGCTACCGGGGGAGGGAGGTAAGGATGCTTGGCCCAATCACAGTCCGATACGTCATATGACGTCACCGATAAGGCAACAAAGACATACACTGCGCAATGTACTCGCGCCGCTTACCCAACATGGCGGGAGGTTTGGATCCAAAAATGGCGCGGTGCGAGAGGACAGCCAGCCGCTCTCCGCGTAAAAGGGTACACACACCGCGTAAAGTGAGCATTCCGTGTTCGGCAGGGTACCGCGTAAACGTGGAAACGCGTAAAGTGAAACGGCGTAAAGCGGGGGTTTACTGTACATTTGTTTCTAAGCACTTCAACACTATTATAACTCGAGTAACCCTGGAAAATTTCCCTTTTCAACACTGGGTTACTCAGGCCCACCATAACTTTACGTAATAGCATGTACTCACAGAGATCGTTATCACAGGTGGGACATTTAAATTCACACTCCACTGCCTCTGCGAAGCATCGTTGAAAATACCTTTTCATCGGCTCCTCTTCACCTTGTTTGCTGTTGAAAAACTCGTTCCATTTCACAGCTTGGTTTGGCGATTGAAGAACCACCCCACTGATGGCGTCCAGGGCCTCCTTGGGTGAGAGCTGCTCCCACTGACCACTGGGATATCTCAAGTCAGTCACCCTTTGGAGTGCAGGCGAATGTGCAGTGTGGACACCAGTTGTGACCATCCGTTCAACAGCACCCACGACTCCATGGACTGCCTCCATGTCCTAAATGCCGCTGCTGGCTTTTCTGCCTCACACTTCTCTGGAGCAACCGCTGCTGTGGGCTTCATGACCGGCATAGAAGCATGACCACCACCAGTAGTTAAAGACGCCATCTGAGCCATTAATGCACTCATGGTCTACTGCTGGGCGTGCCTGGTGTTCCCCGCTGGTGTAGAGATGCCCTTGCGTCCCCTTGAGGGCGTCAAGAATCGTAGACGTGTAGGAGCCATGTTAGCTTTATCGTCAGGGCTGTTATGACGTGTCGGGCCCCGGCATCCTACTCACTGCGCCATGTGAGAGGTTTGAATCATAGACCACGTTCTTTGTAGACTTTATTCTTACAGCGTCAGCTGGTGACTGGCAATCCGGCGCTGCCACAGACAAGCTCCCACCTCAACACATAGGAAAACATATCGTACGATGGTACTCCATTTCACAATCTTACACTAGTAAAGTATAATAAATGAATGAGAGAAATGGTATTAAATGATAGTTTTAATGGCAAATGTGAAGAACAAGGAAGCACTATTATAGATAATTAAATAAAAGAAAAGATTCCACACAATTGTTACTTCCTCTTTCGACAATATAAATTCGGGGCAACCACTGTAGGAACTAGGGTAATTTATCCTTGTAAATTTGGTATATCCATTTCCGTATGCAACACATCCTAAACACCTAACCTAACTTAATAAATACAGTACTTAAATGTAGATAGTATAATATTAGTTTCCCTGTAAAGTGGGACCCCACAACTCCACATTCACCGTTTTAACTACCGCAGAAATGAAAACTGTTAATCTGTAGAAAACACACACCATAAAATGTTTCTGACCCTAAATTTTGTGACTTTTCCTTTTATATTGTATTTAAAATAGGTCTAAGTGTTTTTTTTTAACTATCAGGTGTTTACATTGGTTACGAACACTTCACATTGTCTTCCTGAAAGATTGTAGGGGTATGAGATATCGGTTCACACTCAGGATGGGATGGAGAAAGGAAACTCACAATGTGCTCTCTGTATACATGTTGTATTGGATGTACAATGCAGCTTGGTGCTGGGAAGGCAGCATGGTTACAAGCGTTGAGTAGAGAGAGCTGGTTGGTGAGGGTGCTCAGAGGACTAGCTTGTGGGTCGCCATGGTCGCTGGCGGGAGCGAGCGCCGCCAGGCAGGTGGAGGAGGTGTTGCTTGCTGGTTGGTGTAGGTCTTATATAGCGGAGGTAGGCGTGGCTTAATAGTTGACCTCCGTGATGTATGGCGGCGCTGGTTGACCTAGACCACGAGGCATACACTGGGGAATTCGCGGGGTCGGCTACTCAGCGACAAGCGTTTGTAGGGGAGGAATCCACTACAAGATAAACCATTGACATGTCTTAACAGCGGTTAGCACATCCTAATGTGAACAGTTTAACCAAGAATGGGCGTCTCCTTTCCGCTGCCACTCAGTATGTCAGGTAAGGGACGACAATGTTAAAATGTAATCATTATTTACTTAAAGAAAATATTAATACTTTCACATTGAATAGAGATAATTACAGATTGAGCCTTAAAAAGCAAATCAAATTTTTGCCGAATAGGTAAAACCTTTTGTTTTTATTGCAATTATTCACTAGAAATTAATTTGTACATGTTAAAATTTGATATTTCAAATAAGGTGTCGTTTACTATCATTAAATAGCATAATTATTCCTTAAGTATATCATCTTTTCCAAATAAGATAAATATATAAGTTAACGTTAATTAGCAATTATTCCTATTTAGTATTTTATATACATACTGTATAGTAAAGTTATCGGCTCCAGCTAGGACAAAAATAGTTACTCATTAAATAATAATCGTTTTCTATAATTTCCTTTGAAACCGTTTTCTATAAGTTACTTTGCTAAACCTGCCCCCGAAAGCTGTGAATGCTGTACAGATGCCATAGCTACTTCACTCCTGAGCAGGTGCCTCAAGTATATAAGGGATTCATTCGTCCTAACTTGGAGTACTGGTCTCATATCTGGGGTGGCTCCTCTTCTGTCCAACTGTTAGATAGGGTGGAATCAAAGACATTTCGTCTTATTAACTCTCCTCCTTTAGTTGATAATCTTTCTTCCCTTTCTCTTCGCCACAATGTTGCTTCACTCTCTCTTTAACGGGCAATGTTCAGTGGATTTAGCATACTGTGTACAGCCGGCACTGCTGTGGACTCGTAACACTCGTCTTGCCCGCGGTGCCCACCATTTCTGTGTGGACCTCGGTCACACTAGAATAACCCGTTATAATACACCCTTCTTTCCACACAGCCAAACTGTGGAATGCTCTGCCCTCTGTGTTTCCACACTCATACAATGTCTCACTTTAAAAAGCCGGTTTTCCAGCATCTTCGTATCGTAGATTAATATAATCTTTTTCTTTTCTATTTTTAAATTAATTTTCCTCTTATTCCCCCCAGGCCCCGTTGTGGGTTGATGACCTGTGCTCGGGTGGACTATTCCCCGTAAAAATTAAAATAAAATAAATTATCATGTCCCATGTTTATAACAGTTCATGTTATCTGTTTTCAATATTGTTAAAACATAGCTAAGGTGTGTTTAATAATAAATAACCCAACCTTTACGTTCATACTCCCAGAATCACTTTTGGCGATGTGAGCTTATTTCAATTTACGTTACATATTATCAAAGAAATAATTTTCATGGAGTAATGAACAAAATTAAACAAATCTGATCAAGTGTGCATGTGTGCAGTAATTAAGAGATACTTCCTCCTATAATCTCCATGGGCTTGGGTTGCCATGTACGGCAGTCCAAGATGGCGGAATTTGTGCTGCAAGTTCAGGTGTTTAAAATTACCGTGATATGAAGCCCTTAATGGATATAATGGCCCGTGGACAGGTAATACAGGTAAACTAATATCCGGCTTAATTGTTCGTTAGTGCTGGGAAGGAAGAGAGGAACAAATTAAAAAGCTTTGAGGAAGAAAATTGGATGCGGGAGTATTGTTGTTTGTGTATGTCTTCCCACAATAGTTGCCGTTTCATTTTGCTTTGACTCTCTCTCTCTCTCTCTCTCTCTCTCTCTCTCTCTCTCTCTCTCTAGGTTTACAAAAGATGTGTTGTACTGTAGCTGAATAGTAGAGGTATATTTATTTTTATTTTATTTTTAAGTAGCTGAATTATCTGCACTTACACGCCATATGTAACTAATGTAACCAAATCAAAACAAGGGGTTGGCTGTAAGTAGGTTTTAGTCTTTACATGAAATAATTTAGTAAAACGGCATGAATGTTGATAATATAGTGTAAATGACTTATGGTATAAAGGGTGGGAGATGTGGAGGTATGTAGGTGGGACAAGAACGTGGCATACCTCTGCTGGATGTCAATTAATCAATGATACATTTACTGCTGTTATCACACACACACACACACATTTTTAAAGATTACTACGATCACAATCTGGTGGTGGTGGGTCTCACACTCACCTGGTGATAGATGCCGCCTCACACACCTGGGCTGGTGTTCGTCTTTACAATATTTTATCATTTGAAACCGATTCCAGAAGTACAGGGGATCTGGGGGGCAATTTGTTCAACTTTCCCTCCGTTTTTCAGGTGTTCACATCACATGCCTTTCACATTTTTTTATTGAGGAAGAGTTACATGGTCAAAACTCATAAATAAAAGAAACACGAGTTCTACCACTTTTATTGCTCTGTGGTGGGGGGCAGGACGCCATTTACCCGCTTGTATGGCTTAACAGTGCATGTGATCCTCTCCTCATGCACGGATGACTGAGAGTACAGTACTGTTCTGTATTGTACTGTGTTGTACTGTACTGTACTGTACTGTATTGTACTGTGTTGTACTGTACTGTATTGTATTGTACTGTATTGTACTGTATTGTACTGTATTGTACTGTACTGTACTGTATTGTACTGTACTGTACTGTGTTGTACTGTACTGTATTGTACTGTATTGTACTGTACTGCGTTGTGCTGTACTGTACTGTACTGTATTGTACTGTACTGTAGTGTACTGTGTTGTGCTGTACAGTACTGTGTTGTACTGTACTGTACTGTGTTGTGCTGCACTGTACTGTACTGTACTGTATTGTACTGTACTGTATTGTACTGTAATGTATTGTACTGTACTGTACTGTATTATACTGTACTGTGTTGTGCTGTAATGTATTGTACTGTACTGTACTGTATTATACTGTACTGTGTTGTGCTGTACTGTATTGTACTGTACTGTACTGTACTGTACTGTACTGTGTTGTGTTGTACTGTGTAACCAAACTCAAAGTTATATTTTACTTTGTGTTGTTAGCTGGAGAATGGTTAATAGGTCATACCCTCAGCAGTCGTGAGAATGAAGAGTGAAAATTGCTTGAAATGTTGTACAATATTATCATAAATATTACGATCAATCAATCAGGGTACGGTCCTCATATCTGAGGGTTGGCGACCACAGTCCTCCACTCTAAACGTTCTCGGGCTTTTTTATCGATCCTCTAAGGTTTTGTATCTCTGGGGACACAGGTTTTAATTCCATTCATCCATCCCAGTCTCTGCCTTCCCCTGGCCCTCCTACCCCTTAATATTTCTGTTATTATCTCCTCATCCCTAATTATATGACCAAAGTGCCTAATTGTATTTTTCCTGTTCTTTTCAAGTATTTCTCTGAAAGATTTGCTAATCTTAGTTCTGTACTTTTTCATTTCTTTTTCTGTCAATGTAGCTTAGTCTTAACATTCGCCCATATCACTACATTCAAAGGCCTCTAACCTCTTACTGGTGTCTACTGAAAGTGTCCACGCTTCTGACCCATACACCAGTCCTTGCCACTAAAGCCTTTCAGCAGCCTATCTTTCAAACTGAAGCTAATGTCTCTCTTCACCAGGTTAGGTTAGGTTATTATAGACTATACAGGTTATAGTCTCAGATACCTTGATGATAATGTTTGTTTAATATTTTCAAAGATGTTACTGTGTGCAGGGCGAGTGAGAATGTTTCCACAACTATCCTCACAATAAGAGTGGTTGTCACCTCGTTGGGCTCTCACCTGTGTACTGCCTCCTGCCATCAGCTGCCAAACAATAACAGTGACGTGAGTTTTTTTTTTCTTAAACTTCTTCCCTCTGGCCATAAAGTTTCCTCCACGGAACACTACAACAAAAGTTTAGGGAGAAAAAACTCGCAAACGCATGTGAGTTCAAGTTTTTAATTGTGGGTTATTATTGAAGTTGTGGAGGTAGTGAGTGGCGGCGTGTGGCATCCAACCCGGGCGGGAGTGGACTGGGCAGCGTTTGGAGAGACACATCAGACGGGCGTGAGGCGCGGCGCAGTACACATGGTGACACCTTACTCCGTGACGCACCACGTGGCCACTCACAAACAATAACAATGATCCCCAAGCGTTACGACCCCAACTTGTGCCCGCTGAGGGGATTTCCCGTGATTGTATGAATGACATCACAGTGTAGTGTATGTGGTATGAATCTTTACCCGTGTCTTGAAAAATAACCAAACTCCAAAACAAAAACACTGCAACTCTTTGTACGCTACGCTACCATTACCACCGTGTTGAGGCAGTGAATGACAACCATCCTTACAAAGTTCGTCTTTGATGTGTTCTGTAACTCGCACAAGGCATTACATGAGTACTATGATATATATATATAACTCAAGGACAACTACACTTTGAACCGAGAAGATAGTAATATGCTGTAGTCCAGTGGTTAAAGTTGTTGTGTGTTACGATGGAGAGGGTGAGCCAGTGTAAGCGTGAGAGGCGGGGCCAGACAGCGTGCTGATGGTGGTGATGTTGCTGGCTTCCCTTACGTCATGTTATCACCCTGACCCCCCCCCTCCTTGCCCCTCTTCCTCCCTGACCCTCTTCCCTGACCCTCCCCCTCCCTGACCCCCCCCCTCCTTGCCCCTCTTCCTCCCTGACCCTCTTCCCTGACCCTCCTCTGACCCTTCCTCCTGACCTTTCCTCAACCTGTCTTGCAGCCAGGTGTCATCTCATTGACTTTATTGTGTTGACCTCAAGTCTTGTGTTGCCATGGTATTAAGTCTTGTGCTGTCATGGTATTAAGTCCTGTGTTGCCATGGTATTAAGTCTTGTGTTGCTATGGTATTAGGTCCTGTGTTGCCACGGTATTAAGTCCCAGGTTGCCATGGTATTAAGTCTTGTGTTGCCATGGTATTAAATCTTGTGTTGCCACGGTATTAAGTCTTGTGTTGCCATGGCATGTCTTGTGTTGCCATGGTATTAAGTCTTGTGTTGCCATGGTATTAAGTCTTGTGTTGCCATGGTATTAAGTCCTGTGTTGCCATGGTATTAAGTCTTGTGTTGCCATGGTATTAAGTCTTGTGTTGCCATGGTATTAAGTCTTGTGTTGCCATGGTATTAAGTCTTGTGTTGCCACTTTATTTATTTCTTCCTAGCAGTGTTGCCACCTTAATTCTTTCATAGTCCGATATTCAGGTAAATCGTATAAGTTCTCGAGTTGAAATAATCCGTTTCAGTAGAGATTATCCCGCTTTTGTTATTTTATTTGTCATTTACGTCATGTTGTGTTAATATTCTATCTATATTCTCGTGCTTGAACCATACGTGCAAAACTGAACCATACGTGCAAAATTGAACCATACGTGTAAAACTGAACCATACGTGTAAAACTGAACCATACGTGTAAAACTGAACCATACGTGCAAAACTGAACCATACGTGCAAAATTGAACCATACGTGTAAAACCCATGGTACAAAGCTGAGGTGTTTGATATCATTTTAGCTTTAAATACCAAGCTAAAATCCGCAAGTAAAGAAAAGCTAATGTGTTTAATTTTGTTTGTTTCTCGATGTATTTTATCACCTGACATCACAACTCGCCTTAAAAGTAGAGTATTAGCGTGCCTATGTGATACCTGGAGACTAACCTAACCTATCCTATCCTAACCTATCCTAACCTATATTCAATACACACTCTCGGGCGTCACCACCACATATCTCACACTGTAAATATTGCATCAAGAAATACTATAAGAGTCGTCCATAAGATCCCCCAAAAAGTAACCTGATTTTTGTGTTGAGACAATATAACACAACGGGCGAAGGATTTTGACAGGAGTCGTAGTGTTCATTCTGACAACCATCAGACCTCCCTCCGTAAAGATATTTTTTTTGGGGGGAGGGGGACTGTACATACGCTATATCCACATACCTTTATATTCTTGACAATGGAAAGGTGTATCATATTTCATCCTGCTATTATTAAACAAATTTCAACCTTATGGACGAACATATCTCTACTTCGTTGTCTCTTTTCTACAACTATATCCATGGTCAGTGTTGTCAGCCAAGGCCAGTCCATCACCCCCTCCTCCCCACCTCTCCTTCAGGCCGCCCACTTTGTTTGTATCACACTTCATTCTTTATCTTTTTCCCTCAAGTTTAATTTTGATGATGTGGAACGTAAATACTGTGTTAACTTATTTTTAATTTGGAGAATGGTAATATTTGGACCTTTAAAAATACGAATCCCGTTTTTTATAGGGAAATCCGTCTAAATCCGTGGAGTTTGTAGAATGATAACATACCAACCTTTTCAAAATACGAATCTCGTTCTTGTAGGGGAATCCGTCGAAATCCATAAAGATTTAATGGATTTTTTCTCGTTTAATCTTAGTGTGGGTAATGATAACATACTGACCTTTAAAAATACGAACCACGTTTTTATAGAGTAATCCATTTAAATCCGTAGAGATTGAATGGCGAGTTAGACTTGGAGGGAATCCCCGGCAGTGCTGCCTTATAGTAATGGTCCAGTGTTGTAGGGCGTCCCTCGTGACCCTGACCGGGGGATGTCTCCATAAAAAAAGAATGTGTTGTTGACATTCTCATGACTCAATATTAAGCATCGTACATTATCTTCACAGTGAACTATATATTTAGCGAAATGATGGACCAGTTTACATTATCTTGACAGTGAAAAACTTACCTTAATTTATAGTATGTTAATATAACAAGAAATATATTGTTAGCGTTGGTAGTGATGTCATTTACTGATGTACATATTGTGCTTAATTACAGAAAAGGAAATGGAAGAAACATGAAGGATGAGACAGTAGAGTGTGTGTGTGTGTGAGAGACCCAACACGGACTGTAAGCTGGAACACCTGCCAACCAGTCTTCATAACACCTGTACTGTACGTCGTGGCTAATGAGAATCACTTGATTGTGCGAAACACATTGGAAACACCGCGGACCTAAAGAACAAATACTTCAGTTGCTGTTACGGGAAGATAAAATAGAACTAATTATTTGAAATTTAAGTGTTTTAGTACAGTTGTGAGACAAGAGAATTGTTTTAGGTGTTTTTTGTGATAAACCTTTAAATGTCCGTCTGACAGGAAAAGAAAATATCCTGTTTAATTTTTGGCCAGTTGAGAGACAGTGGGGAACACCGTGTTGTGACGTCACCATGAAGAGTAGTGAGAGCGACTCCTTGTGAGGTACTCCAGTTATGTGCGGCCTCTCATAACTACCACTGCTGCTGGTCGGTGTTGTCGTCTTTACTTAACATATCATCGTTGTTGTTTTTTTCTGTGGCCTAAGAATGTAACATATCAAGTTGTAAATAGTTTTATAACATTAGTGTTTGTAGCGTAAGAAATATTTGTACTTTGCTGTGATTTTGAAAACTTTTGAAAAAAAAAACTACTTTTGTTTGTCGTCTTGATGTTGTAGTTGTGGAATCTTTTTGGTGTCCGTGAGTTCACTTGTTCATCAGAAACACACTAAGTCCATATGCAAAGATTTAATCACACTTATGTAGTAAGAACATTAATGCTTTATGGAACTGAAGCAAACTAGAGTCTCTCACCCAGTAAACAATGGAAATGAGCGAGTAACAAAATGTGGAGAACACCTAACCGAGGCGACCAGTGCACACCTAATACCACCCTGTTTGTTGATCTTAACAATAATTACCACACTCAAAAATGAGAGTACTAACGAGCACGAGTGGGCTAGTGTCTGCCAGGACGCTAATTGTGTTGTGGGTGGTGATGGTGGTGGTGGTGAAAGGTCAACAGACTCCTCCAGCGTCGCCGCTAGCAAGACCACAAAGTTCTGACAGGCCTCCACCAACGGTCCTCACACACCAACACCCCTCCCACGCCACCATCCCCACTACTCCACCTGCAATGGAGATGCACGGGGAATTACTGAGGCGATTAACCAAGAAAGTTCCTTACGTGTACACAGGAGGAATTCGACAGGCTCCCCACGACCGGTCCAGAGACGTGGTCACAATTGTTCCTAGAGACACAGGGATGCCGCAGGAACAGTCTCCCCACAACACCTTGAGTGAAGGTCATAGTGACAGACAGCTTTATGATAATAGTGATCTGACGGTGCTTCATAATTCTGCGGTCCAACACATCATGACTGCTGGTGACGACCGACACGCGGTGCCTAACAAACTCGCCTCCTCCAGAAGACGATACTCTGGTGTTTTAGGCTTGCTTAGAATACCAGTAGCAACATTTGCACCAGTAGTGGCGGCAGGTGTGGTAGGCAGCACCCGCGCCCACCTGGCCAGGGCGAGAAGGCAGGTGGTGGCGCCCACACCCCTCAGACTCACCCCGCCCCTCAGATTACTTCTACACAACGAACCTTCCAGCCCGCTCCCTCCCCTCACCTCGCTCAAGTCCTCTACTTCTCCACCCTGGTCTTCCTCTGGGGACACTGGCGGACAGGGCGAGAGATCACTGCCTCGCCACCACACAGGACTCGGGGAGGAGGACCCATTTCATTCTCTGTCTGTTTCAACTCAGATAAGTAAACGAGAATTAACCAACGAAGTAAACTTGCTGAACCAGTACTTAGACGCGAGAAAATACGCCAGAGATTTACGATACTTTAGTCAGTTGAGCGATGAGGTTCGTACTGTGGGTGTGAAGAATGTGTACGGAGAGGCATCAGGGGAGCCCATCCACAACCACCACCCACACACCCACTCTGAAGACCCACACGCCCACACCGCTGAGAGTCCGGGCGTGAGGTCATCTGTGTCTGGTAGCGGCAACTCGGTGGACAGGTCTCGACACTTTAGGTCAACAACGAAGAGGAGTAACGACCCTTTAGTAGTGGTAGGAGAATATGACGACCCCTCACGACCGCTCACAGATGTATATGACTATTATCAAAGAACATCGTGGGACAAAAACGACCCCCCCACACCGGCGATCAGCAGAGAGGGCAACTACCCAGAAACAATTACAGATAATGGTGGCTCCTTAAACGCTGCCACCAACCCAAGGACAATCACGCACAGAGACGGCCACACTAGCACATCCACGGACGGAGGTGAATTAACAAGGATAACTACGGACTGGGATGATTACACCAGCACATTCACGGACGAAGACAGTTACTCTGATACACCTGTGGACAAAGTAACAACTACGGACGAAGGTGATTGTTCTGATCCAATCTCAGGTGATGAGTATTCAGGCTCAACTACGGACACAGATGAGTACCTCGGCTCATCTACGGACACAGATGAGTACCTCGCCTCTAGTACGGACGGAGATGAGTACCTCGGCTCAACTACTGTCGGAAATGACAATCTAGATGTAAGGACAGACGATGGTTATCAGTTGGGTGTAACCACGGACGGAGATAACTATTCCAGCCCAACCACGGACGGACCCCCGCCTCCTCCACCATCACCCACGGACAGACAACCCACAAGAGAAACATTCCTGGCCGCAGGGGGGAGGAAAGTCGACGTGTTGGGGGTGAAACTGACGCAGCACCAGGAGTACATCGTTACCGAAGAAGGCGCTGAAGAGACGTACGATATTTGTCGAAAGTTGAAGATATTTTACGAATCTCTCGACACCAAGTTAACCAGTTCGGACTCAAGTGGTGTGAGTCACGGTGTGGTAAATCCGGACTCGGGTATACCTGAGTACTTGGAGTATTTGAGTGTACTGCTTCGGGGATTTGATAAACAGAAAACATATACAAACGCGGAGGTGATTAGTGATTCTGTTGAAGTGAAAACAGCGGGACGTGTGACTAATGACGTGTTGTCGGGACCGCCATCACCTGTGGATAGTGACGGCATTGTACCCAAAACTGAGTTGACTGTAATTAATGATACACTTTTACCGACTAGTGACACCTCTGTACCGACTAACGACACCTCTGTACCAACTAATGACACCTCTGTACCAACTAACGACACCTCTGTACCGACTAGTGACACCTCTGTACCGACTAACGACACCACTGTACCGACTAACGACACCACTGTACCGACTAATGACACCTCTGTACCGACTAACGACACCACTGTACCGACTAACGACACCACTGTACCGACTAATGACACCTCTGTACCGATGACGGCGACGCCTTTAAACGAAGACAACAAAGTTTTATCGGCGACGTCTATGTATAGTGACAACAGTGTACCGATTACGGCGGCGGCTGTCCAGGAGAACTGTACGTCTGTGTCGACCGATTCATCTGTAGGACAGGACCCGTTACCGCCGAGCCCAGCGTCGTCAGCGGCCCCTCCTACAGCACCCTCAGGCGTACAGCTCTGGCTTAAAGACGAAGATGGCAAAGCGGTAGAGGGGGCCCTGTCGTCCGCCCATCAGTACACAGGTTAGTTCTCTCTCTCGACCCGGTCTGCTTCACTCCTCCCACCTCCTCCGTCAAGTTACCACGAGGATTTTTTAAACCTAACCTGACCTGACCTGACCTAACCTAACCTAACCTGACCTGACCTAACCTTGAAATATTCCTCATTACTTTGTTGTGAAGCCCAGACTCATGTTTATAGCATCTGCCAACAAACAGGAGATTAACTACTTTTTTATGAGGAGATGTTTGGTTCGGTCTTCTTATTGGGTGAGGTAGAGGAGGTTAAATATGACAGTATTAACACGTGTCACCTAACCTAACCTAACCTATCATAACCTAACCTAACCTAACCTAACCTAACCTATCATAACCTAACCTAACCTAACCTATCATAAACCTAACCTAACCTATCATAAACCTAACCTAATATAACCTAACCTAACCAAACATGTCCGTGTAGATGTTTGTTAACGTGGTCAATAAGGGTCAATTTGTTAGCTTGTTTTAGGCTTGAGAATAATCCATTAGCGCCTCGTGTAACCCAGCCACCACCTCCAGGTATAATCACTGTATATATCATTATGGTGCTGGTCAGGTGTGAGTCAGTGGTTCAGGTGTGAGTTAGTGGTTCAGGTGTGAGTCAGTGATTCAGGTGTGAGTTAGTGGTTCAGGTGTGAGTTAGTGGTTCAGGTGTGAGTTAGTGGTTCAGGTGTGAGTTAGTGGTTCAGATGTGAGTCAGTGATTCAGATGTGAGTCAGTGGTTCAGGTTAGATTAGGTGTGTGTGTGTGTGTGTGTGTGTGTGTGTGTGTGTGTGTGTGTGTGGCAAGAGTAATGAAAACAGCGAATCGCCTCTTCTTTTGTTCAATCTCTCAATGCAATGTATAACTTTGTGAAATAAAATGTATAGTTCTTCAAGAGGTGTACACATTATAATCCTAAGTGTTGTTGTTGTTGTTTTGTTGTTAATGTTGTTGTTATCTTGATGTGTTTTTGTTTTTACCTCAGGGTACAATAAACGCCGGGCTGTTTTTTATAACTTATCAGGTTTATGCTGTATGTCTTATGATTCTTGATAAATGTGAAGACGATAATAATAATCATAATAATAATAATAATAATAATAATAGTAGTAGTAACAATAGTAATACACTAGACCACTATATCAGACGGGTGGATGGGGGAGCTACACTAATTAGTTCAGTATTGTATTAAGTATGAGAGGGGGGAGGTGGGGGGGGGTACTGAGATAGACGACGCAGTAAGAGGCCTGGAGACGCGCGGTGTAGAGCTAGCGGGCGCCGCATTAATCTAGGGCGGGCTGTAGCGGCGCAATAAGGCATTTGTGTAAGGAATATAGTCAACATAAGCTGTAGGGAGTGGTAGTAGATGCTTAGTGGGCCATTCAGGGTATACTTAGAGGTGTTGGTGGGTGTAGTTTGACGTGTAGAGGTCGGTTAGTTGACAAATATTGGAGTTAAATTCTTAGAGCCGAGAAGTGGTATGTTATCGAGGTGACCACCAGTGATGTGTGTGTGTGTGTGTGTAGGATCAGAGAGGAAGTTTCTCTGAGCTCTCGGTGTTTAAAGTCCCAGTATAAAGGATCTAAGCGTTTATGAAACATTACTGACCAATACATTTAATCCAGGTAACAAGATTAATTAGTTATATTTTACCTGTTTTTCCACACACACCCCACACCCCACCCCCCCCCCCACACACACACAACGAACCAAATAATACACATAAATGTTATATCTAGACCTTGGTGGGAGAGCTGGGATTTATGTCAAACTTTTATAGACAGTTTTTTATTTAGTGCAAGACTTGTGTGAACCCTGAGGCTATAGTTATGTGGGTATAACGTGTGTGTGTGTGTGTGTGTGTGTGTGTGTGTGTGTGTGTGTGTGTGTGTGTGTGTGTGTGTGTGTGTAAGTCAAGGTTCAAGAGGGAATCATTTTTTTTTGTATACAGGTGTTCAGATATTTTTTCACCACCATTTTCACCACCTCTACTCTGGCGGTTCTCTAAGACCACCACTTCTTTCCACTTCTTTACTTAAACTGTTTGTGTTTGGGGGTGGGGGGGTGGGGTGCGTGGGGTGGGTGGGGTTGGGGTGGGTGGGTGGGTGGGGGGTGAAGGGGTAACGAATGCGTTTTATTTTCTTCTCACTTACACCACCTTCAGGCAGTATGCAGAGAGAGAGAGAGAGAGAGAGAGAGAGAGAGAGAGAGGAGAGAGAGAGAGAGAGAGAGAGAACAGGAAATTGGCAAGGAAATTATCAACACTTTTCCTATAATATTCTTTTTTTTACTCTCAATTTCCAATATTTTTCTTCATAGTTTAAGAAATATTTGAGAAAGCTATTAAAGTATTCTCTCTCTCTCTAGTAGTGACGTCAGAGATGGGTTTGACCTGACTGAAAACGAACCAGAGTATTCATTCAAAACCTGGCCGGTTGGGTTCTGGTTAGGTTGACTGGTTAGGTTGGGTCCGGTTAGTTGGGTTCGGTTAAGTTGGGTTCGGTTAGGTTGGGTTAGGTTAGGTTAGGTTAAGGATTGTCTAGTTACACAGACTTTATTAACTTACTGAAATATACAGTTTAATATTAACATTAATATTAAGAGACTTAGCATAATATTTTCTTCAATGGTTTACTTATTGAATAATTAGTCCACAAAATTGAACCATTTATCTTTTTAACCTCTTTATTTAATTAACCTCAAGTTCTAAGTTCAAGAGTTCGTTTAACAAAGTTCACACCGGTACAAAGTTCACATTCTCGTCACAAGTTCACACCTGTACAAAGTTTATCTCTCGTCACAAGTTCACACCTGTACAAAGTTCACCTCTGTCACAAGTTCACACCTGTACAAAGTTCACATTCTGTCACAAGTTCACACCTGTACAAAGTTCACCTCTGTCAAAGTTTACACCTGTACAAAGTTCACATTCTGTCACAAGTTCACCTGTACAAAGTTCACCTCGTCAACACCTGTACAAAGTTTATCTTCGTCACAAGTTCACCTGTACAAAGTTCACTCTGTCATGTCTACACCTGTACAAAGTTCACATTCTGTCAAGTTCACACCTGTACAAAGTTCACATTCTGTCACAGTTCACACCTGTACAAAGTTCACATTCTCGTCTAGTTCCCACCTGTACAGTTTACATTCTCGTCACAAGTTCACACCTGTACAAAGTTCACATTCTCGTCACAAGTTCACACCTGTACAAAGTTCACCTCTCGTCACAAGTCCACACCTGTACAAAGTTCACATTCTGTCACAAGTTCACACCTGTACAAAGTTCACATTCTGTCACACGTTCACACCTGTACAGTTCATTCTGTCACAGTTCACACCTGTACAAAGTTCACTTCTGTCACAAGTTCACACCTGTACAAAGTCTACATCTGTCACAAGTTCACCCTGTACAAAGTTCACCTCGTCACAAGTTCACACCTGTACAAAGTTCACCTCTCGTCATTTCATACCAATATCGCCACGAAGAGTTCACGTGTTACACTCGGCCATCATGACCCGTCACTCTACACTCGACCATCATGATCCGTCACTTACACTCGGCCATCATGACCCAGTCACCTATACCCGACCACGACCCGTCCTTACACACCGACCATCATGACCCGTCACTTACACCTGACCATCATGACCCGTCACTCTACACTCTGACCATCATGACCCGTCACTCTACACCTGGCCATCATGACCCGTCACTCTACACCTGACCATCATGACCCGTCACTCTACATCGACCATCATGACCCGTCACTCTACCCGGCCATCATACCCGTCACTCACACTGACCATCATGACCCGTCACCTACACCCGACCATCACGACCCGTCACTCTACACTGACCATCATGACCCGTCACTCTACACCCGACCATCATGACCCGTCACTCTACACTCGGCCATCATGACCCGTCACTTACACTGGCCATCATGACCCGTCACTCTACACTCGGCCATCATGACCCGTCACTCTACACCCGACCATCATGACCCGTCACTTCTACACTCGACCATCATGACCCGTCACTCTACACCCTGCCATCATGACCCGTCACTCTACACCCGACCATCACGACCCGTCACTCTACACTGACCATCATGACCCGTCTCTACACTGACCATCATGACCTGTCACTTCACACCCGGCCATCATGACCCGTCACCTACACTCGACCATCATGACCTGTCACTCTACACTCGGCCATCATGACCCAGTCACTCTACACCCGGCCATCATGACCCGTCACTTACACTCGACCATCATGACCCGTCACTCTGCCTAATTCAGTAGAAAACATGAAGGTAATCCTCTGTAAAGCATCGACGACCTTAGACTCATCTTCCGCGTTCTGAATTATTCATCGTTGTCACCGAGTTGATAGATTTAACGCTGGCTGTCTAGTGACGCTAAGTGGTGTCAAGAGGCGGTTAAGGGTCTAGTGGCGCTGGTGTGCGTCTAGTGGCGGTTAAGGGGTGTCCAGTGGCGCTAAGGGGTGTCTAGTGGCACGCAAGGGTGTCTAGTGGCGCTAAGGGGTGTCTAGTGGCGGTTAAGGGTGTCTAGTGCCAATGAAGTGGTGTCTAGTGGCGCTAAGGGGTGTCTAGTGGCTTTAAGGGGTGTCTAGTGGCGCTTGTGGTGTCTAGTGGCACGTAAAAGGCTTTTTGCATTTTAAATTGTTTAGTGGCATTTTGAGGACTGTTTTGAAGCACTTAAGACTGCCTGGTGGCACTTAGCAGATGTCTAGTGTTTGGCACTTAAGCTTATAAAACAGTTAATGAAAAGAGGGATGATGAAGACATGGAGGAGAGAGAGAGAGAGAGAGAGAGAGAGAGAGAGAGAGAGAGAGAGAGGGGAGAGAGGAGAGAGGGGAGAGAGAGAGAGAGAGAGAGAGAGAGAGAGAGAGAGAGAGAGGATTTACTGCCGGGTTAGTTTCATTATACAGTATAGGTTAAGAATGTTCAAATTACGCTTAGCTCTGTGTGTGT